ATCTGGTCGAGTAAAAAACCGGTATCGTTGTGCATGGCTTGTATTCCCATGAGGGGTTAAACTCCTCTTTCAGTGCACCAAGCTGAAGATGAAGTTTTGTTTTAATCTATGCTTCCAGCTTCCCCTGTAGGATACAAGATGCATAACAAAACTCAGTGCTTCCCCAGCTGTAATTCTGGGACTACATACTAGTAGGTCCGTTCTGCTTGAGAGAAAGCAGGCAACTGATTTAAACATTTCTAATTATAAGTTCATATTATCTTAACCTAATTATTAAAGAGATAATGAAAAGAAAAATTGATTGACCAGCTTATTATGGCTTATTACAGAATTTGAAGTTTAAATATCTTATCTCTACAACATAGGGTTGCAAAGATATAGGGATTGGAAAATCAGAGTTTGAGGCAAAGACTCTATTCCTCTTTGTCCTCAGTGTAAAACTTATATCATATTTTGAAATGATAGATAATAAATCAAGAAAACAGCATTGCTCTTAATTATTTTTATGAAATTTATGTCAATTTTTATTTCTTTAACTTTAGTTTTCAATAAATGCTAAAAATATTTATATATAAAAATTCTTGAGAGCTTTCTTGATAGACCAACTTCCTGTAAGCATTTAACAGTAATAGTTATCATAACAAAGCAAAAACAGAATTAGAAACTATTAATATTTCATTTTATCATATCAATAGAAAATAGACTTTCAGTGTTACATTTTTCTGTGACCATTTATGAGGAATAATGGACAGGAATGTTCAAAGGGATCTTTCCAAAAACCATACCAGAAACTATCAAAGCTATCAAACCAAACCAGAAACTATCAAATCTATCAAACCAATAGTCCTGACGCCTGCATATATCAAGTTAGAAAATAGCAATCCTTCTTCCACAGCTTTACCAATTCAGTTGATATCATACAGTGAAGAACCTGTCAGAAAACCAGTGGTTCAGACATCATTAGAAGTGTCCAAGAATGTAGCAGTTAAATCATTACCTTCAGATGGCCCAAAATTGATATCTCAGAAACTTCAAGTAACGTCAGAGGCTTCAAATAACTCATATGCATCGCAAAAGCTCACAGATGAATTAGGAAGTCTTTCATCCTCTTTTTCATCTTCAAAAAGAAATTTAGTGGAATTCATAACAACTTTGTCACTACAGTCAAAGTTGTCCCAAAGTATGCCAATATTATGGCATGACAGTATCCCAATAGATTCACAAATGCAAGAATCCAACCCAACTGAAAGTTTTTATGTTAAGTCCTCTGTCAAAAAACCTGCCTTTTTAAAACAAAATCTTGCTGCATTTCAAGAAAAAAAACCATATCCATTCCTCCGGCTATTGAATTTGAAATCAAACTCTTCAGAAATGGTTACTCTTACATCTTATAAAAAAACAGCTGTACATTCAAATACTTACAGTGCCGGTGTTATACCTAAAGCTAGAAATACTGTTAGAAGCCTAAAAACTCATAGTCTTGAGTCTATTATGAGTTACAATTTAAAAATGAAAATTTCTGCTTCTGAAATCAGGAGCTTATATCCAGAGCTCTCTGCATTTGAAAAGAGTGGATCTTCTATCAAGTTGAAACAAAACACAAATTCTGTACCTAAGGGTTTAACTATTGAATCTGTGAGTTCCTCTTCAGAAGATGGAAAAAAAATTATAAAAAATGAAGATTTTTTACCAGAAGATTCTAACAACACTGCTGAAACTACACAATCTATTGGAACAAAAAGCATTTCCCAAGTTATTGAAAATTATACTCCAGAGACTAAAAGTGTCTTGTCAGAAGCTGATACACCATCTGTTGAAACAAAAGAGTTTTCTTTGGAACCTAGTAGGAATTCTTATCATAATTTTGAACCTGCAATAAGCAGTTGCAATGAAGAGCTCCCCAATAGAAGATCTGAAAGTGATGAATTTAAGAATAAAAACTTCCGTCCTCATCTGGACAGATTACTCAGTTTCTCCTCTCGCAAGGATTATGAAGAATGGTCCACAAATGAGCAACATCCTTTCAGCTCAGAATCGCCAATTCATGATGAACAACCTGATGATTTCTATCACAAGATTTCCACTCCGTTCTGCAAGCAAGAAAGCATACAATCCATAACAAAGGAATAATGAAAAAATATTAAATTTTTAGCTTGCATTCATACTTTTAATCATTTATCCCTATTCCTGCTGGGTGTGGGGTCAATTTGACCTATCCTCTCCCCCCAGTAGTTTTTTTACATAACTCAAAAAGTATTGGTTTGAGGCTGTTGAAATTTTCTGACTTTTCCTAAATACCCATAGCCTTTTATACTAACCTCCTGAGCTCACTGCCTGAATGAATACTTTTTTCTGTAACAAACTAAATCTTAGTTTTTACCCACATTTAATTGTCAGATTTTGATAATTTTTAGCTTTTTGGAAAGTCTATGACATTAGGAAACGGATTGCACAAGTTTTGCAAAGACAGTTTTGCAATTTATTTGCATACAACCCCACAAAGGAAATGTTCACATTTTTAGTTGTCTTAATTACACATCATCAGGTTATTTAAAATTTTGCAAATATTTTTCATATTTAATATAGCATGGTCAAGGGCTTTTCAAAAATGTATATATTATCAATTTTTAACATTCGTTTTCAAACATCTTTACTATATAACTGGATTTTGCCAAAAAATTTCAACTTTTGCAAATTTGCAATTTTTTGCAGATTCTTAAAGAAGAATGATGTATCATTTGCCATATTTGGTCATAAAACATGGAATTTAGAAGTGGGGTCAAAAAGACCCCCCCCCCCCCACCTTAGTGTATCCTGGTTTTCAAGTACCACAGCAGGGATAGGGTTAAAAAAAAAACAATAATAAAAAGGATTTGGAAAAAAGAAATCAGTGTTAACCTTGAATATCTATATATAAATTTGTCTTGTCTGTCTGGGTGTTTGTTTGTTTGTCTGTCTGTCTGTTTGTATCCAATAAACGTCAAAACGGCTGAACCGATAGGGCCCAAATTTTTTGTGGGACATCTAGGGACCCCAGGGAAGGTTTTTGAATGATCAAAATTTCAAATATTTGTCTCCATCAAAATTTGATCTTCATTAAATTTTTGAAAATTTTGAAAATCCACGAAATTTTTTGTGAAAATCTGCGAATTATTTTTGTTTTGTTTTACGATGTACACAAAGAGAACATGTTCAAAATTAATTTAGAAGATGGGCGCGAAGCGCCCTCTAAGGCTAGTAACTTAAATTTGGCATTTATTCACAAAGGGAAGCATCACTCGAACTTTCAAACAACAACTGGACCAGGAGGCTAAATCGTTTGAAAAAGGAAACATAGTTTTTTGAGTTTTTGAGTTTTGAGGATCAAAGGCTTAAAATTTTTTTTAATTCCACACATTTTGTTTTTATGAAATGCTCAAAAAATATTTGCACTTCGCAGAAATGGCGGGTGCATTAATTCCACTAAATCGTTTGCGATCCAGCAGCAAGAACAAATTGGACTACTCTGGAACAAAAGTAAAAATACTATTTGTTTATCAAGTAAATTGATAATAATAGATCCTTTTTTCAGGAAGAGCGTGCAATCCTTTTTCAAAAACTGCAAAAGTTTTTAAAGGATTTTCTGGATTTAAGCACTCGGTTACCAATTAAATATCTTCAAGATAGAGGTTACATGGAAGACAATTCCTATAGTATTATAAGAGCTATTCTGAAATTTGACAATTTACAGGTATTCTTCAAAATCGAGGAATTTTTGGGAATTCATTGCAAAGCAATGGTGCTGAAATTCCGGAGTTCCTACAGTTATCTATAAGGACAGAGAGTCATGATTTAAAAGATTTATTTATTATTTTTGGAACAATCCCAAGTAAACTTACAGAAGAAATAATGATCCATGATAATGATTTAAGTGTTGACAATAAAAACCAATATTTATATAACTTTTTCAAATTATCAAAATTTTCAAAAATTTTCAAAAATAATTCTGTGATTACTGAAAAAATTTTCTAGAGGCTAAAGTGAGAAATAAAATGGCCACTTCATGTTTCTTCTGTAGAACTTTAGAGTCAAGTAGAAGTTTTATGGAAACTCCACATATTTACAGACAAACAGGAATAGTTAACAGAAAACATCCGATTAATGTTATTAAAGATAAATAAATAAAGAAAAATATATATTTATGGATTAAATATAAGTGCTGTTTTAAAAGTTTAAATTTCAATTTTTTAATCTATTATTCTTAACTTACATTTTGAACTGGATAAACTGTTAGTTTCAATTTTAGGAAACCTGGCAGAAATTCAAAGCCTGAGGTAAGTTTTTAATCTTAAGTTTTTTTTATTTGTTTGATTTTTTTTGTTTTGTCTATCCTTTATTATGATTCACTAAAGTGTTTTTAGTGATTTAAAAAAGGTACAATTTTAAATTCTCCAAAAATTAGTTAAAAATCTGAAACAAAGTAAATGAGTCTGAGCCACAAACTCTGATTTTCTTATCACTATATCTTTGCAACCAAATGTTGTAAACTTTAGATATTTCAAACTATGAATTCTGTTAGATCAAATAGTCTGAGTTTGAAATATCAAAGGTTTACGACATTGGGTTTTAAAGATATTGGGGTTTAAATATTTGAGTTTGTGGCAAAGACTCAATTCCTTTCCCATCAAATTGGATATGTTGAGATGAACCCCCCCCCCCTTGCCTCTGCCCTTCAGTGGAAGTAAAACGACTGACTTTAGAAATAGATTCAGAGTATTAAAAGGTTATTTTAAGCTGATACCATTGTATTTAGGTTTCAACTAGAGGAAGGACAGTGGGATAAACTTATTGGAATAAACAATGTTCACAATCTGACTGGTATCATTAAACTGTTTCTAAGGTTTGTTCAGTATTTTTAACAAAGGCATAATGGTAAACACAGATTTAACAGTTCGGTCCTTGTCCTGGCAAGCTGTTATAAGTAACTTTAAATCACAATTTGACCATAAAACATCATTTTTCGCCTTTTCTCATTTTTACTTTTTTGTCGGCGGGTGAATTTTAAATGCTCCATAACGGTTTCTAGAACCCGTATCTAGCCAGGTACAATTCAGTTTTCACTTAGCTATTAATGTCTAAACCCGGACACAATCTTGTCAGCTATCAATGTCTAAACAGACACCAATGCCTCAACTAGGACACAATCTTGAGCTATCAATGCCTTAACTAGGACATGATCTCGTAAACTATCAATGTCTCAACTAGGAAACAGTCTTGAGCTATCAATACCTCAAATAGGACACGATCTCAAAAACTATCAATGCCTCAACTAGGACACGTTCTTCAACTCATTGGTTTAGACATGATTACTCTCTCGCAGCAATCAAAGTGGAGTTTATCAACTGATGTATTTGAGGTTTATAAGTTACAAGTTAAAGTTAATAGACATAATTACAATTACAAGATAATCAGGTTTAGTATTTACAACACAGTTAAGATAGACCAATTAAGATGTACACCATTATTTATCACATGATTAAGCTTATCATGCTACGGATTAATTTGAAACGCAGTTCAAATTACTAAAGGGTTTTACGTAGAATTTTACAAACGTAGATAGTTAATAATGTACATAGTTCAGATTTACAGAATATTGTGTTACAGAATATTTATAATTACATTCCTACATTTCTACATTCCTACATAAACTTTAAATACCTTTCATAATATTGTTATTATATGAAATCTACTTATTGGCTTTTCTGGTTCAAATTTTGAAATGTTTGCAACTGCAATTGTGTACAGTATTTGTGTGATGCCTTTTAAAAGTTTAAACCCCTTAAAAATTCTTTGTAAACAAACTAAATAATTACCCACAAATCAAATCAAATCAAATCAGACTTTCAGGGACGTCCTAAACACAAAATTGAGATGACTTAACTAAATGAATGATGATGTGAGGACTTACGATTCGTAAACTTTGTTAATTTTTTACATGAAAGTTAAAGAAATCATTGTGGCGGCGTAGTGGCGGAAGACGAAGTTCTGGAGGAGTTTAAAACCGAATATCAAGACGCGGCAAGTTGAGAGTTTCCGGCCACGTCATCTATCTATTTTTACTTTGATATAAATTTCAGTATTTTCAAGTAGTAATAAAGTAATTATTTAAACAGGCGTTTATTAACTTGAGCGTAGCTAAATCATCGGATTAAAAATTCCAGATATTTTATTAAAAAGTTACAACAGACATCCAACGTTATTGCCAGACAGCCAATAACAGATTCTAGTCCCAAGTCTTATTGCAATGATTAGTTTGATCAGAGACAGGTTTCTGTCCTGTGGACGGGTGATTTTGGAAACATTGATATTTATAATGAGCAACTTGAATGTCTTAAGTGATTGATGATTTAACCCAAGTAACAAAAGTAAGGAGTTTCCCCAGATTCTCCAACCGTGGTGACTTGTTTTGAAGAATTTCTAAGGAATTTCTCGAGAATCATTTCCTGTAACTGATTCCTCGTAAAATTCTCGAGAAATCCCCCAGAATAATTCCCCAAGATGAGAGATTTTTGATGGATCACAGTTTTGAGACTCCATTTCGAGAAATTCCTGAGAAATTCTTAGGATTTTGTCACCATGTTTACGGATTTTTAGAGGAATTTATTAAGACAATTAGTTTCGAGAAATTCCTGGGAATTTCTCCAGAACTTCACCCCAAGAAAATCCTGAGAATTTCTCCTGATTGCTTCTTCGGAAAGTCCTGAGAAATTCTTAGGACTTGGTCACCATGTTTACGGATTTTTAGGGAATTAAATAAGAGAATAAATTTTAAGAAATTCCTGAGAATTTCTCTGGAATTTTTCTAAAGAAATTCCTTAGAATTTCTCAGGAATATTTCTCCAGAAATTCATGAGAAATTCTCAGGACTTTATCACAGAATTTTCAAGTTCCGTTTTTCTCCAATAGGTGTCTCTGCAGAGGTTCTCTTCTATTATGCACTGCCCTAACTAAATATTTTTTTCTTTGCATCCTTATTGATAAAAAATTATAATTTACTTTAGTATCATCTTTAAGGCCTAAGTCCTGGTTAGTGAAGTTACTCAGGAATATGCTGAGTATATTTCAAGATATTCCTGAGAAATATTCCACAAATTTTGTCGACATTTTCTCTGGTTTTTCTGCAGAATTCTAACAAGAATTTCCTCGGAATGGGTTACAAGAAATTCCTCGGACCTGGTTCCTCAGAATAGATTACAATCAACCAGGTTATAGTATATAGAGTGATGATGTACGCTAATCCTTTTTTGTACAGGCCATGTTTGTATCATTATGCCATAATCTCTTAATATATTAGTAAACTATCCCAAGTTTACACTTAGGCTAATACACACGGAGAGGTAGCTAAAATCCTACCCCCGGCCCCCTGTTAGAAATCGATCCCAAGTTTATTCCATAGTTTATTTATTTATCTATGGTTTATTCTAAATAGTAATTTTTACATTGTATTTGGTAAAAGAACGCTTTGTCAATTTTTTTCTCATTTGAAATTATTCAATGACAGAAATGACAAACTTGTTTTAATTTTAAGCATAAAAATATAAAGCATTTAAAAATTAATTTTCATTTAAGGTTGAGTTTTACACAGGTAAACATATTCAAACAAACATATTTCATAATACAATTTATAATTGTTACGTTTTACATTTTTTTAAATTGTCTCTTTTCCTGATATTAATGGATTTTTTTTAAATTGTTAATTTTTTTTCAGAAAAAATTATAAAACCAGACACCATATTTCCACCCTCCTTTTCCTTGACCATGTCAGAATATTGACACAAAAATTTCCAAAATATCTTTATAAAATTCCAGGAGGGGGAGAAAATTTCTTTCAATCTTCAATTACCTTCCCCCAGTCCCATATAAAAGAAATTGTTTCTCTTAATTTTCTAAAATCTAGTTACCAATAATATAGCTCAAGCAAGAGTTGATTCCCTTCCCAAACCAAATTATAATCTTATTGTGTGTTACTCATTATAATAGCTAATTACACTCATTCTCACTTCTGATTTATAAAAGAAAGATTAAAGGATAAATGAGATATTCTCATTTTTTCTTTTGAAAATTATATATTTTCAATTGTGGGTTTTCTATTAAAGTGACCTCCTAAGAATAGGATTGATGATGTAAAAGATAAAAATGAAATTTTAAGAATTCAAAACTTTTAAAGATTGAAAAACGATGATATCTTTCTCATCTTTACTCAGATAAAGGTTTTATTGTTGTGAATCTGTCTGATTATTTCTTTAAATTAGACACTATTAACAGTTCATTTTTTGTTTAAGTTTTAAAACTATGAAAGCTCTATACAAAAACATGGGTTCAAGAAACCTGAATATCATCCCTCTTTTTCTCAACCTTCCCCCACCCTCTCCCCCTCCAGCCCCCGTTCCTTTGCTTAAGAAGAATTAGAAGCAAAAAGTTAAATTCAATACTAAAATCTAAAAAGCTTCATTAAATCATTAATTTATCGAATTTTAGAATAAAAATTACTTATCCATAATCCTCTCGAAAAAAAATTAAAATAGTATTTTATTGAGAAACTTATAAAATGTGTTTCACTGCACATTTCAATGGGATTTCAAAGTGGCACACCTTGTTCTACCGTATACGTACAAATGAACTCCAAAGTCCATAGAACAACCATATGTTGGGAATATTTAATCATTCTTAACAACAGAAGAAATAGTTTTAAACTTTAAAACTGTGCAAAATTCTGTTCATTGCTGTGAAGCTCTGGAATAATGGAAACTTAATTTATTGTAGCAAAATCTCAGGCACTGCACCTGGCAGCTAACTCTCTAGTTATCTCACATCTTCAATGCTTCTAAATCTGAAGAATGATTTTAGGTTTCTCTTCCTTCCCTCTACTTAGTCCCGGCTTTCTGGTATTTCCAGCTAGAACGGAACCATACTAAGGATTATGAAGAGTATTTAAACCAGATTAGTTTCTGGATAGTCATTAGTTGAATCCTAGCTTCCAGGCCAACATTATCATGAAGCTTACGGTTAGTTTTATAACCCTAATATTTCTAGGTCTTTCTTCTAAAAACAGTTTCATAATTTGACATTTTTCTATTTTTAAAGCATGATCTTGATCATTCTTGATTGATCATTTAATCTTAGGTTGTGATTGCCGCAACCCTGATCGCCATTGCTTCTGGACACTTTAGAAGTTATGGAAGTTCAGGGTCCTCTGGAAACTCTGGTTGGAGTGGAGGCGGTGGTTTCTCTGGATATAGCAGCGGTCTTAGCAGTGGTGGAGGCCACAGCAGTGGAGGAAGCTTCAGAGGAAACTCCGGAGGGTACAGCAGTGGAGGAAACTCAGGTAGATGGCCCTTAAGCTCCGGAGGACACAGCAGTGGAGGAAGTTTTGGAGGAAGCACTGGAGGGTACAGCAGCGGAGGAAGCTTTGGAGGTGGACACATCAGCGGAGGTAGCTTTGGAGGAAACTTTGGTGGACACAGCAGTGGAGGAAGCTACGGAGGGCACAGCAATGGAGGTGGACACAGTAGTGGAGGTAGCTTTGGAGGAAGCTCCGGTGGACATAGCAGCGGAGGAAGCTTTGGAGGAAGCTCCGGAGGATACAGTAGTGGAGGAAGCTGGCCTTCAAGCTCTGGAGGGCATAGCAGTGGAGGTAGCTTTGGGGGAAGCTCTGGTGGACACATCAGTGGAGGAAGCTTTGGAGGAAGCTCCGGAGGGTACAGCAGTGGTGGAAGCTCAGGTGGATGGCCCTCAATCTCTGGAGGACACAGCAGTGGAGGAAGTTTTGGCGGAAGAGGTGGATCTGTCTGGATATAAAGAGGATTGGATGTTTAAAGAAGAATTTGATTCAACTGTTTAATTTTAGCAATAGTATTAATACTTTAATCCCTCACATTTTCAATAAAGCTGCAGTCTCATCCTTTGGTTTTTATGATGAATATTTGTGCTACAGCCTACACTCTACAGTTTATCCCAATCCCAGATTTTTATATTTTGTGGTTAAATAGGTTGGAATAGGTATTATTTATCTAGTTAGTAATAACAATAATATTCATATACAGTGGTTGGCGATTATATCAATATGATAATGACAACTTTTTGAGTGTTAACAACTTTTTTTTAAATTACAAGTTTACAAGTAATCAAAGAGAAGCTTTTTAATTGACAGCTTCTCTTGACATCTACGTTTTGTGTATCCAAGCTGTTTAACAGCTTACTATAAATAAAAATTTAAAATAGAAAGTCGTCATCAATTGTATTGATATATCGCCCACCATTCTGTTTCGGTAAAATTATTTTACAAAGTTCAATATAATTATAAGTTTAGAAGATTTACAGTTCCCTAATAATATATACAGGGTTAACCAGGAAATAATATCTGTTTCCTAATATTCATGATCCCCTGCAGATGTTAAATTTTTTTTCTCTTTTCAAAATTATCAAATTTACCTACTAAAGACTAATTGTACATTAGAGGTCTAATATGAGACCATAGGAATAATAATACTCTTTTTTAAATGCATAGGATGCATAGATGCATAGTTTATATACATTTTATATATCGTTAACGTCATATATTCATATATACCATGAAGCATAGGATGCATAGATGCATAGACTTATATAAGAAATATATACAAGTTTATATATGGCTGCATAGGATGCATATGATGCATAGATGCATAGACTTGTATAAGAAAATATGTACAAGTTTATATACGGCTGCATAGGATGCATAGGATGCATAGATGCATAGACTTGTTTAAGAAATATATACAAGTTTATATACGGCTGCATAGGATGCATAGATGCATAGACTTGTATAAGAAATATATACAAGTTTATATACTGCTGCATAGGATGCATAGGATGCATAGATTATGCAGCCGTATATAAACTTGTATATTTTTCTTATACAAGTCTATGCATCCTATGCATCTATGGATCCTATGCAGCCGTATATAAACTTGTAAGGTAGAAATCTAAATCTAACCTTGGAATTGTCATATTTCAAGAGTTTCAGGTCATGTTTACAGTCTTATCATACTGATATATATATCGTTGAATTTTAATATTTAATGTTTGTCATAGTTTTAATGTTAAAGGTTTTTAACCTTCATTTTTTTAATTCAGCATTGAAAGTAATATTTAACGTTTGATATATCTTCACTTTTCTCTCTCATCTTAGGTTTTGACTTTTCTCCCCTACCTAGTATGTTATATTTTCTCCCCTACCTTATATTTTATCTTTTCTGCCCTACCTTATATTTTATCTTTTCACCCCCACCTTATATTCTATCTTTTCTCCCCTACCTTATATTTTATCTTTTCTCCCCTACCTTATATTTTATCTTTTCTCCCCTACCTTATATTTTATCTCTTCTCCCCTACCTTATATTCTATCTTTTCTCCCTACCTTATATTTTATCTTTTCTCACCCTACCTTATATTTTATATTTTCTCCCCTACCTTATATTTTATATTTTCTTCCCCACCTTATATTTTATCTTTTCACCCCCACCTTATATTTTATCTTTTCTCCCCCACCTACAACTAGAATTATCAACGTTTAATTTTTTTTAGAGAAGTTGTTGAGCCAACTATACCTTGGGACTTCACTTTAATGATTTGTGAAAATCCAGACAAAATATTGAACAACTTTGCTCAAATGTCTTCAACCTATCTAAACGAATCGCACAGGTATACATTAAACTTTAAATTGGAAAGATGTGTAAGAATAAGATATACAAACTTTAAAGGGAGTGTTTGCGAATAATGAAACTTTTATCTGTTCCTCAGAGCATGTCGTCAATACAAATTCACAGAGATGCATTATATTCCACTTAGATCGTAAATTATTTAATTAGATTTAAATTTAAACATTCAGATATTGCAACCTATATATGTAGAGTAGATTTTAATTCAATGCATTCAAATATAGTTGATATTTCATAATATTTTTGTATGTTTTATGCACGATGTACGTTACACGATGATTTTTTTGGTCGCTAGGGGTCGTTATATAGGTGTCTCTCCCACGACCCACATGGAATCTCTGAAGCATCGAGAGCAGAGACACCTAGCGGCCAAATTATCGTCTTTTAAAGTAGCGTACATAAAACAAACAAACAAATATTATTTATTCAACTATTTAGAAATGAATTGAATTAAATTGAATTCGATGATGATAGGTTGTAATGTCTAGAATAATATTTAAAATTTCATTAAATTATTAACGATCTGAGTGGAATAATGCAAATCTGTTAATTTGACATGGACGCTCTCTCTCCATCTTTCTTCTCTATAGAACGTTTTGAAATATTTTCTTCTTATAGACCCAACAGATCAGCCTATACCCCCTTTCATTTTTCGCGAACACTCCCTTTAATAAACCAGGCTTCGTAAATTTTCCTGTTCTCAGTCTGTGAAAACTATGCATAAACCTTATTTGGGATTATTTTTAAGATTCCTCATAACAAAAGTATTTTCAGAAATGTTCTGAAATTTTTGCTGACACATTTAAACAATGTTATAAAGGTAAGTTTAAGAACCATCTTGTCTTTGTTGTGGATTTAAAGATTTTTGAAATGAAATTATCAAACTCTAAAAAAAATCCTTTTCTAAAAATACCCTTTAGTGTGTGAATGAAATAAAATTAATATTTTTGTATAGTAAAAAATCAAGATATTTTTCAATCTGAAAAGTATATTTTTAGTGTTGACAGGAAAAATACCACTAATTAATTTAAAAGGCAAAGGTTATAGATCTGAAATTAAAGGATGTTACCTGCAGGTCGAATGAATATAGAGTCGCAAATTTAAAAGTGGGTTGGCTTTGTTTATTCAATGTTTTTGTATGTGTAAGGGCAATTACCAAGTATTCAATTGATGTATTTCACAGGATACAGAGTTGAACTTGATGTCTGCCACCTCCCTGGGTATTGTACTTGGCCCCTGCCTATCCTGGCCTGAAACCAGTTCTCCAAAAAAAATACTGGATAATATAAACAAACAAAAGACCAGTCTTGCATTCCTTATTGAGCACACAGCAGAGCTTTATAGAATTTGAATTGCATTTATAATATTTTGTATTTTATTAAGAAATAAATCATATTTTACATTTATTATTTATTATTTATTAAATAAAAATATGCACATATTTAGGAAAACTAATATAAATGGTCACAGAAAAAAATGGGCTGCTACTAAAGTTTAAACTATCGAAGTTAGCATCTCCAAAGCCTCATGTCCTCTGCCTTCAGGCACAAACAGATGATCATGGTAGAATCCTTAACACCCACAATGAGATTTTTCAATTTTTTCAGAATCAATTGTAATTCGTAAAAGCCTTATGAACAAAGAGAATAGAATATATATTAGAGTGGAATTTACTAGAAAAAAGTGTAAAACGGCCATATTGTTGTACTGTTTCCATACTGCAGGTGTACTTCACATATTTGTGTTATATAACCTTTTGGACCCCGGAATATAATTTATAGAAAATCTAAAATTAATGTTAAAAGAAAACCAAATTATGAAATAGGCTGGTTTCATAATTTAGACCAATGATCATTTTACATAGACTCTATGCCTTTCACTTTAAAAACGATGATTTTCTGTTATAACTTTAAATCAAACGATGTTTTTTATTCACCTATTTTATTATAAAGTTTATTTAACAGCTTTAAAAAATTCGAAATTGAAATGAATAGTCTATAGGCAACATACTGTATTAATGTACTTTACTGCACATGATTTGTGAACATTTACATGATTTGTACACTTTGAACTACCTTTCAGGCTGAAAGGGACTGAAAAAGTTCATACCGAGAGATTCTCTAAATTCCCCTCATTCTATTCTCTATGCTTATGAACCTTTCCTGAAGCTGTAAAGAATGATAAATCATCAAAAAACTTCAGTAAATTAACGATGGATCTATACATAGAGGTTACAAAGAGCTAAGTGCAGAAGGCTAAGAAAAGTTCAGAAAGGTGCCATCGTAAGTTTAAAACAGGTTTTAATGGTTTATCTTTCTTAACCACTTCAGGAAAGATTCTGTAAAGCCTGCATAGAACCCAAATTGATCCTGAAAAAATTGGAAGCCCTATACATAGACAATCAACTATGAATAACTTACATTACATATATTCCAAAAAATGACTTATTTTGGGTTTCAATTACAGCGTAGTAAAGGTTGTCTTGTTTATAGGCCGAACTACTTGCTTAGAGCTTAGCTTTGGGTCCGTATGAAGATGAAGGGGTTACATCAATGGAACTATCCAATCTGAGTTTAGCTCCGGGTTTGTATGAGAACTGAGGGGGTAACATCAATAGAACCATCCCTATTCCGAGCTATTGAGCTCACACCGGTAACAAAAGAAAAAGTCTGACCTGAAACCACATTGCATGGAATATTTTTTTCTGCCAACTTTTCCAAGATTTGGGCCAGAAATCCTAGATAATAGATATGGATTTGTTGGTGCTTAAGAAGGTGCATAGGAAATCGATCTATAATCTTTTTGATCTAAAGGCAATCTGATCTAAAAGAATCTGATCTAAGTGGACTTAGATCTAAAAAAAAATTTTAGACCAAATTCCAATTCTTTTGGGAAAATTGTGGAATTTGATCTAAAATTTGGATTTTATATATTTTGAGTCAAAATGTCATTTAAAAATGTTTATTTTTGAAAACAAATATTTTAGATCCAATTCTACATATTACAGATAAAATTCCCAAATTTTGTGCAGAAATTGTATTGGAAGTACAGAATTCTGTATTTAAAAATAGTAGAATTAGGTCTAAAAAATGTATAATTTGATCTAAAATATGAAAATTATCAATTTTAGATTAAAGTCTTCATTTTTTAGATCAGTGTAAACACTTTTTAGATCAAATTCCATATTTTAAGCAAATAAAGTTAAGGATTTGAAGCATAATGGTTATCTGAAATATATATTTTTTGAAAAAAAAATTTTTGATCACATTCAACATATTTTAGATCCAATGACACATATCTTAGATCAAAATCACAACTTTGGCAGAAGAAATTTTATGAAAATCTTCACTTGACAAATTTATAAAAATGAACAGGGAGCTCAAATTTGAAAAAAAATATTTTAGATCAGATTCCACATTTTTTAGATCAAATTCCAAAAATTTTCAGAAAAATGCGGACTTAGATCTAAAAAAATATTTTAGATCAATTTCCACGTCTTTTAGATTAAATTCTCGTTAGATCAGATTGCTCTTAGATGAAATTCCTTTTAGATCAAAAGGTTCATAGATTAGTTTCCCGAACAGGCTTAAGAAAACAATTTAATTAATTTTTGCAAAATATGTGAGATATACTTAGTTTAACACATTTAGATACAAATAAATGATAAATAAATTCAATCTATGAAAAAGATAAATTAGGTAGAGTTATTGAAGACCAGAGAAAGTGAATTTTAGACATGAGGTGTCTTAATTGCATTAATTCTGAGGTAGAAAGTTTCCTTAGCGGATAATAATTGCTAACCAATTGCCTCCAGTTAGGAATAATTGCTTACAAACTGCCTCCAGCAGGGAAAAATTACTTACTAACGGCCTCCATGGTTTGTAATAATTGCTTGCTAACTGCCTCCAGTTGGGAATAATGCCTTACCAAATAGCACCAGGTAGGAATATTTGCTTATCAACAGTCTTCAAGTAGAAATAATTGCTTACCAACTGCCTCTAGGTGGGAATAATTGCTTACCAACTGCCTCCAGGTAGAAATAATTGCTTACCAACAGCCTCCAGGTGGGAATAATTGCTTACCAACTGCCTCCATGTGGGAAGAATTGCTTACGAACTGCCTCCAGGTAGAAATAATTGTTTACCAACTGCCTCCAGGTGGGAATTATTGCTTACCAGCTGCCTCCAGGTGGGATTAATTGCTTACCAACTGCCTCCAGGTGGGAATTATTGCTTACCAACTGCCTCCAGGTAGAAATAATTGCTTACCAACTGCCTCCAGGTAGAAATAATTGCTTACCAACTGCCTCCATATAGGAATAATTGCTTACCAACTGCCTCCAGATAGGAATAATTGCTTACCTACTGCCTCCAGGTAGGAATAATTGCTTACCATCTGCCTCCAGATAGGAATAATTGCTTACCAACGGCCTCCAGGTAGGAATAATTGCTTACCAACTGCCTCCAGGTTTGAATGAATCTTCAAGGTGATCTTCTGACAAGCAAATTCATACTAAATAATTACAATAGTTGTAAAGCTGTAAAATATGTTCAGAACTAGGGCTTGGAAATGTCCCTAATCTAGAAACGACAGTTACAGAAAATTTACAATAAATTTTGTTAAAACTTAACATAATCCTGAAAGTTCAGTTTCTAATTAAAACAACTGGTTATGCATGATGTGCCTGACCACATCTATGACCCCAACTTTTAGATAAAAGAACTATTCTTTGCTTCTACCTGTATTTTGTATATTTTGAGGTCCTCTAAAGGTATTATGTATGTGGTTCCTTCATTCTCTTCAAACTTCATAATACAGCTAAATATGTCTAACATTATGCAGTTCTCATAATATTGTATTTTTCTTAAAATAAGAATATAAAAAATTTTCTTTTTTTTAATAAATGGCCTGAAAATTTTTTGTGTTTAGAAATATTCCATTAAAGTGGTATTTTTGCGGGAAACCCATACCATGAGGAAACTTAATTAAAAAGCTTACTTCTGTTGAATTTGGTCCGACAGAGCTTCTGCCTTAGTACTATAATAATGATATAAGTCAAATCAATTTCACTAAACCTAGAAATTAAGGAAACAAATCTTGGAATTTATGAAACCATATATATACCTATACCTAGAAATGAAGTATAGGTATACATATACCTAGAAATGAAGCATACCTATCTAGAAATGAAGGAAACAAATAACTATACATAGAAATGAAGAAGACGCATTCCTATACCTAGAAATGAAACAAATGCATACCTAATACTTAGAAATGAAGAAGACGCATACCTATACCTAGAAATGAAGTAAACGTATACCTATACCTAGAAATGAAGAAGACGTAAACCTATACCTACAAATGAAACAAATGCATACCTAATACCTATACCTAGAAATGAAGAAGACGCATAACTATACCTAGAAATGAAACAAATGCATACCTTTACCTAGAAATGAAGAAGACGCATACCTATACCTAGAAATGAAACAAATGCATACCTAATACCTAGAAATGAAGAAGACGCATACTTATACCTAGAAATGAAACAAATGCATACCTAATACCTATACCTAGAAATGAAGAAGACGCATACCTATACCTAGAAATGAAACAAATGCATACCTAATACCTAGAAATGAAGAAGACGCATACTTATACCTAGAAATGAAACAAATGCATACCTAATACCAATACCTAGAAATGAAGAAGACGCATACCTATACCTAGAAATGAAACAAATGCATACCTAATACCTAGAAATGAAGAAGACGCATACTTATACCTAGAAATGAAACAAATGCATACCTAATACCAATACCTAGAAATGAAGAAGACGCATACCTATACCTAGAAATGAAACAAATGCATACCTTTACCTACAAATGAAAAAGACGCATATCTATACCTAGAAATGAAGAAGATGCATACCTATAACTAGAAATGAAGAAGATGCATACCTATACCTAGAAATGAAGAAGATGCATACTTTTACCTAGAAATGAAACAAATGCATACCTATACCAAGACATGAAGGAAACGTATACCTATACCTAGAAATGAAGGAAACAAATACCTATGCCAAGAAATGAAGTAAACGTATACCTATATCTAGAAATGAAAGAAACATATACCTATACCTAGACATAAAGTAAACGTATACCCATACCTAGAAATAAATCCATAAACTTGAGAACATAGCTCTGGATTCATCTCTCGAAGCAATTTTTCTAAATAAAAATAGATAGAAATAAAGAACATGTTAAAAAATCCAATTAAAATTACTATACACTAATATTAGAACTGGAAGGCTTACTTAGTCCTTCTATCTGCAGTTATTCTGTCCCGGTTCTATTGGTCGAATCTAATTATAATCTGGAGAGTGTAATTCCCAGAGCCAAAGAAATAGCTTAATCGGTATTTTTAATGTGAAATTTGACAAGCATAAATAAAAATCAAATGAACGTGTCAAAATAAAGAGTAAACCCCTCAAAAACTGGGTTTTAGGGAATTTCCCGAAAATATCAGAGAAATCGCGGAAACAACTCATAAATGTCAATTTTTGGGGGGTTTCTGCTTTTTTTAGACATTTCCGTGGTGACTGGTGTGGCGTTTTCATAGAACCCACTTAAGTATTTCTATAGTGTCGTCTTCCCAATCCATTGTTTTCTGTTTATCACTGTATGATAATTTTTGTCAATAATGTGTTCCTCCAGACTAGTATAAAATATCTGAGCAATCCTTTTATCCTTATTCATCGGCTTTTATTTACCTAAATTCATTTCTCCCGCTTGTGTCATATTTGCCATTTGTTCTGAAACAATTCATAAAATATACTTCTCTCTAACATGTTCTACCATATACTTTGCTTGTCTGTCTGTTTGTTTGCTTCCAATAAATGACAAAACGGCTGAACCGATCGGGCTCCAGGAATGGACCTTAAAAGTTAAACTTTTTTTGCCCGAAAAATAGTATCTGTATGAAAATGCACCATCTTAAATAAGAAAATCTGCGAAATTTTGAGAAAGATTTGAACGGGCACTCTTAGAGCAACAGTTAAGAGACTAGAATTGTTAAAAGAAACGAGACCGCGCGATAAAATAGTTTCATTCTAATTTTAACTTATTTTTAAGTTGCCATTTTCTATCGTATTCTCTAAATCAACAAATATTTTCAAGGATATTTCTGTTTAAAATAATAAATTTTGAAAAATTGGAAAATATGACCGCCAATTAACTATCCCTGGGGTCATTTGATTGAACTACAAAATTATAGCCCGATCGGTTGCGCCGTTTTAACGATATTAGGATTCCAACAAACAGAAAGACTAGCAAAATGTAATCACAGGTTTTAATTGCATGATAAAAGTGTACTTTCAATAACAAAGTAAATTTTGAAAAAAGTTTAAAATATAGAAGCAAAACTAAAGCTATTGGTTTTCAGTTGTCATGGACTTTCTAACAAGATTAAAACTGTAAAAATGTTAATTTAGTCTAACAAAACAAAAGTATGAATTTTGTCAATATAACATCGGTAAAACCCTAGAAAGGAATTGCCTCAAACTCTGACTTTCTAATCCCTAAATCTTCGCAGCTCGAAGTCGTACACATTAGATAATTTAAACCAAGTAGTCTGTTGGATTAATTAAATAATCTAAGTATTAAATATAAAAAGTCTACCAGATTTTTAAAGGTTCTCTTAAAAGCTTGGTCTAATAACCTTGTCTTTGAAAATTGATTTCATTCAAATGTGGGTTTTCCGTGAATTTTCCAAAGCATATCTGTTACAGGAATACTGTTACAGGAATACTGTTACAGGAATACTGTTACGGGAATACTGTTACAGGAATATTTGTACAGGAATACTTGTACAGGAATAATGTTACAGGAATACTTGCGCAGGAATAATGTTACAGGAATAATGTTACAGGAATACTGTTACAGGAATAATAGAGAAAATTGTCAGAATCAAGATCCTTTCAATCTAGAAAAAACATTGATATCTTCCACACTATTGATCAGATAAAGGTAGGAAATCAAGCTTTCCCAACTTTATTTAAAGGGTCACTTGGAATTACAAGTACTGAGTACAGTCCCTGTAAGGGGGCTAGGGAATTAACAATATTTTTTTCAAATCATCAATTTAATTAAAGTTTATATTGTAGATAATCTAATTTATTAACATTTGATTATTAAAAACAGAACTTGTTTTATTTCGAATGAATATTTATATGTGTCACATGAAAAAAAAATGCTCGTTTTCCAAGATTTGAAATATCGAAATGAGTTTTGCGTGAGAGTAGAAAATACCAAAAATTCATCAAAAAACATACAGTTCGATCCATAAAACATACAGTTCAATCAATAAAACATACAGTTCGGTCCATAAAACATACAGTTCAATCAATGAAACATACAGTTCGATCCATAAAACTGCGCAAAAGAAAGACGACATTCTTATTTGATTTTGCTCGCAAAATTTTGTTACAAAAGATTAAAATGGGTCTGTGTACACTGCTCAATTACTATTTTTCATACACTAGACTATCTTAAAGCAAAACTTGATTCATAACAGTCGTCTCTCCATGATTAAGCTTTATGGTTCATGAGATAATAGGACGGAAAGAACCAGTGTACGAGCTTAAATTTTGTTCAATGTCCTTGATGAAAAATTACGATTTATTGATTTATCGGTCCGCGTTTTAAAAAAGCTGCTCAATGTTTCAATCCTTCCATATCCTCTCTGATTATTGCACTTAGTTACTATATAGTGTATAGATCACGAGAAACTATAATATTATACTGTAATATACATGTTGTTTACAAGTTATAACTGAGGGGGGGGGGTGGATTCAGAATTATTAAAAACTATTTTGGATAGTTTAAAAAATAGATAAATTGATAGATAAAAATTGGCATGAACAAGATTTTAGAACATTTTTTTGCTTTTTAAAGATCTTTTCCCTTTCATCCCATAGCAACAAAATTTAAAAAAATCGTCTTCATTTAGTTTTTAATAAATACACATTGCTAACTAGACATGGTTATAAACAAAAATACATACATTTTGTAAGAAATCTTAATATAAATGGAAGCTTAGTTTTGGCTTACAACTTTTAAAATGTTGTTTATTTATTTTAAACTGAGCTGAAAACTTTAGAAATGTGGATATCGGGATTAATGCTTGATCCACTCTTTTTCTTAATCTCCAGATTAAATATTGCTTGTTCTCCTCATGAATTTAATCTCCAGATTAATTAACCGATCGGGATTAAGGATATCCCATTCTAAAGTTTTCAGCTCTGATGATATAGTAAACTCAATTTTTTAAATTTGGTTTAATTTTCGATGTTTTAATATGAGATTCTTTTAAAAAACATGAACTATTATGTAATGTAAAATTTAGATCTTGCTGTCAATACATTTGTCCCTAGAGCATAAGAATACAATTTTTTCAATGGCGTATTTTCTTAAGAAGTACAATTTTATTTATGCACATTAAACAATGATAGTAATAAATCCAAGAATAGGGGGATAGTTTGTTTATCATTGTGGAACAAACCCTACTCTCCTCAACCTAGTTTTATATTTTATTGTTTACACTATTTCCCCCTTGTATTGTTTACTTAAAAGATGACAAATTTAATTCAAGGGGCGTTTGTTTTTAACCCTAATATTGTCCAGAAATGATAATAAATCTCAATTTTGTGTTAAAAGAGCATCATTATCCATTATATTGCACTTGTACCGTAGTTTACTTGTACATGTACGACTACTCTAATTGTACAATATCTCCTGCTTCTGCTTGTATATCACAGGATGGAAACATAGTTGTACAGGGTAGATCCTTCCAGGCCAGCATTGTACTGAGAAGTGTACCCGGTACATCTGAACTCTTTAACTCCTTCAGGGTTAATCTCAACCCAACACTGTTAATCTTCGCCACACTGCTAGCTAATCCTTCCAGCTTGGCCTAGGTTGAGAGATTTATTAGTCATGTACTTCTCAATGTCTGATTATAGAACAATTCTTGTTCTTGTTCTTTTTCTTATTTCTTTCGTCCTAGTATACTTGTCCTTTAAATTAAACTAACCTGTTGGTTTAGTTCTAAACAATATGCTGCGTAGATACATTAAACATACCTGTTGGTTTAGTTCTAGACAATATGCTGCGTAGATACATTAAACTAACCTGTTGGTTTAATTCTAGACAATATGCTGCGTAGATGCACCAACCTAACCTGTTGGTTTAGTTCTAAACAATATGCTGCGTAGATACATTAAATTCACCTGTTGTTTTAGTTCTAAACAATATGCTGCGTAGATACATTAAACTAACCTGTTGGTTTGCGTAGATACATCAAACTAACCTGTTGGTTTAGTTCTAAACAATATGCTGCGTAGATACATTCAAACTCTTGATTGTCCTCCACATATGCATTCATCAAATTCATTACCAATCTAAACCAAATAGAAATGAATAAAATAAAAAATACAGTGGTAGGCGATTATATCAATACAATGAAGACGACTATCTATTTAATATTTAATATTTAATATCTATAAACATAAACGGAGATGTCAAGAGAAGCTGTCAATTAAAAAAAAGCTTCTCTTTAATCACATGTAAACTTGTAATTCTAAAACAGTTTGTTAACAATCAAAACTAAAATGAAAAAGTCGTCTTCATTGTATTAATATAATCGCCTACTACTCTAAGATAGTTAAAAAAATAATGAGGTAAAATAGAATAAATGAAAATAAATAAAATTGAGTCACAATTCCCAACACATGATGGATACACAGCGTATCCCAATAAACATGAAAATTTAAAGGTGATCAAGGATAATGATTATATTTGTGACCGTGGGTAAAATATTCTTAGTTGACGATCTTGAATAGTATATATTGTAACCGGCGCTAATAAAGGAGATATATTTTGATACCAGAGCCGCAACTGCGGACAACACACTGATTGCAATAAGTGTTCTCTTTTCAGTGGGGCCCATAAAAGTGTGGAAATCTACATTTAAACAATTTTGTGTGTAATAAAGCAAACAGTAGCTTTAATAGCCCTAGTGTGAAATAGGTCTGTGTACATTACACAAACAATTCCTGTGTTTCATGTTTACTGGACTTTTTAAAATCAAAATGCAATGAGTCGGCCTTACAGTCGCCTTCCTATTCTACAGTTTTATCCTTATAGTTTCCTGTTTTATACCTAACATAGCTGTTTACAGTGGACGCAGGATTTGTAGGATCTATGACTCGAAGGATGCTGTTTGAATTCACTTCTCCTTTTTCTGCGCCATCCTGGAAGAGATCGAAAGCTGATGCATTGAACAGCTGAAATATTTCCTAATAAAACCACCAAAAATAATATAAATGATAGTAATTATTTCTAATTCTTAAAACTGCTAAAAAATCTCGTTGTTTAACTAAAGAATAATATCAAACAGTTAAAACTTTCATCATTCTATAAATATTTCTAAGCTAAAAACTCCACAAATATTGTATTACCGGTAAAACTTTGAGAACTCATAACGCCTAGATAAAGTGGTAATTTTACCCCTCCCCCCCAAAAAAAAAGAAATTAAATGCCATAGTTTTTTTTGTTGCATACTTAAGTGGAAATATTAAGGAAAGTAATTCAAGAATTCACTTCTAATTTTACATCATAACAACGTATACTGGACTAGGGATCATGATTTATTTTAGTGTTTTAATTTTTGAAGTTTTCCTGATGTCTGAGTGAATTGTCTGCTACATCCTTTAGAACTAGATTGGTCGGTAGGCTTCGACCTTCCCCTTCTAAATAAATATATATATATGTATATATTTCAGTTTTTAACTTCACATTATTTATCAAAAAAGAATTATACTAAACATAATGGTTCACGCCTATCATGACGATCCTCAGTAGTTAAAATTCTTATTTTTAGGAAATATTTAAATATATTTATATTTATATAAAAATAGGAATAATCTGCATAGGATTGCTGCAAGGCATGAAACATCATGTTCATGTATAGTGAGATCCTGAAATATTTTGAAATATATTGAAATATATTCAAATATTTTGAAATATATTGAAATATATTGAAATATATTGAAATATATTGAAATGTTCAATTTGAAGCTGATTCTTTAAATACAAAAATATCATGAATAAATAGAAAAAAATATCAAATATATGATTAAATATATAAATAGAGAAATAAATGAAGTAATAAATGAATAAATTAAAATTTAATTTATAAATACACGAACTTTTTTTGTTATTATAATTCCACAAACGAATATATTTGAATGATAAAAAGCAAAAAATTATTAAAAATACCTAACTTTAGAAAAGTATCAGTATTACTTCAAAAAATGTTATAAAATGTTACCTGAAGGTAAGTATCCAGTATCAACCAATTCATTTACAGAATTGAGAAGAAATATACCCATGGAGAGGAATAGGAGGGAGGAGAGAGACCTAAACAATACAAACTAAGATTGAAATTTTTGAACATTTTGTTAAATCCATGTAGAAAGCTATTGGAATATACAAAAATCCAATTTTAATACTAGTCTATGGACCAACCTTTCATAAACCATCTCTGCTGGTTCCAGTTTCTCCATGGTTGTGTCAGGATTTAGATACCGCTCCTAATATCAAAATATTATGCACATATTTTTTGCTAAAGTGGATTTTTTTAATTAAAAACAAGCAAATTATTTTCAATGTTTTGGGCATAGATTAGTAATAATACAGATAGAACACTTTATGTCGTCTTTTCAATATTTAAGGGGTTTTCTTTAAAATAACCCTGAGGCAGAAGCACAAAGGAGGTCCGCATAGGCAGCGTTAAATTACAAGATGCAGAGATAGAACATGAGCTGCATGCGCGGAACTCCTTTGGACTTCTGTGAACGAAAAAATATGTAAATAGAATTACGTATACATATGATTGGATTTATGTAAATATATTTACGTATAAATATGATTGCGTTTTTGTAAATATATTTACGTATAAATATGATTGCGTTTATGTAAATATATTTACGTATAAATATGATTGTATGTATGTAAATATATTTACGTATAGATATGTTTGTATTCATGTAAATATATTTAAGTATAAATATGATTGTATTTATGTAAATATATTTACGTATAAATATGATTGTATTTATGTAAATATAATTTTGTAAAGCTGTAAAGCAAGGTTAAAACAGTAAAAATACGCATTATGGTTCAGTCTTTATAGTTTAAGTTTTAATTAATGCATAATTGCTTTAGACTGCATGAAACCATATGTTAAACTAATTCTAGGAATTCAGGCAGCTGGGTATAGTATTGTGTCCCTGAAAACCGTACTTTCATTAAATTTATTCAAACCTTACCAAATTTTTAGAAAATTTCTTAGAAAGTACTGCCTGCCTCCCCCTCCCCTCCTCCTTTTTTTTAATGTGCAACCTCACCTCGCTAGTTGCAACCAAATATAACTATATGGAACAACTATTTGCAAAAGTGGAGTTAAACTCTGCAATAGCTTTGCCATATCTCGGTGATAACAGTTAATTTAATACCGACTTTTAAACCAAGTTAGAAACTGGGATTAATAAGTCGAGCTTTTAGTTAAGTTTTTCCACGAGATTTCGCCCAGTTGGTGAGTGGACTTCAAAAGTGGTTCATAAGTCGGTGCTAACACTCATGGTATCATTGTCCAAAATCTTGAAATTCAGAACTTGCTTTTTCAACAACAAAACCGAGAACAAGTTTAAATACTAGCAATTAGAAACTGCGTGTGTGAAAATAAAAGTACCTCAAATTTTTTCATAATTTTCGCCATATTGGAGGTGGGGTTCTCACGCACAGTTGTATTTACTGCAGATACTACCTCCCATAGGTTCACATCCCCTCCACTAGCTGATAATGATAATAATAATGATAATAATAACAATAATAATAATAATAATAATAATATATATAATACTACTAATAATAATAATGACAATAATTCATTCAACTTTGATAGTAATACGATAATTTACAAGATAATCATTTAAAAAATGTATTTTTTTATTTAATGAATTTAAGTCGCTTCTCAAATTCGCCAAAAAACCAGTGTCGATGGAGCACCGGCTTATATTTTGAAAAATTTAATACAATTTTAAGTGGAACCAACCATATTTGACCCGTGGTTTAAATTTAAACAGCGGCTCAAATTCTGTAAATTCGGCCTCCAGTCTATATCTGGTAAATATCTGTCCAACCTGTAATATTCCGAGCCACGTCCTTGAGAGTCAGGAGCTCTGAGCCGGCCATCTTGATAAACTGATCGAAATTGTTCAAGATCTCTTCGTGTTGGAGATCATCCATCATTATTTCATCCTTCAAATTGGAATAGTTAAAATATATAGAAAATGTCAACCTTCACATTTTTGATAAGAATTAAGCCATAATTTATCATGCAATGCATAGCTGTAAGGAACTGTAGACATAGTTTTACGTGAATCTCTATCTATAGATTGGCATGGATTCACAATATCTACAGGCCTAACAGCTCAAAAAGGTTAAACATTTGCATGATATAGATTTGATTAGATTTGATTAAATTTTAGTGTAAAAGTTGTTATAATTACGGATATTGTTACCTGCTGATATTTGGCAGCTGTTGGGCCTCTAAACCTCCGCCTTCCAAAAGGTCTTTGTCCGCCAAATATTCTTCTATCATCTTCCGCCTCTAAATCTTCCGGCCTGGGTCCATCCATTCTATCTTCCGCTTCGTCGCCCTCTTGCTGCTGCTGAGCAGCTCGAAGCATACCAAACGGCAGCTGTTTCATGAGCTGCTGAATGCCGGGTAGCTGAGCTAAATTAAGCTGTCCTGACTGCTGAGCTCGGCGCAGTTGAATGAGCTGCTCCCTACTGAGTCTACCGGACTGCAGCTCCTGTCTTAGCAGCTTCATTTGTTCGCGCCCTGAAATAATGAAAAATTGCACAGCTGAGTTGTACAATCCGATCCAGTACAAGGATCCCGGTATATTCTTTAATGTACTGGCCCGTCCAGTGTAACATATGGTCGACCTAACGCGTTTTATGCAACAGAGTCAGGGCGGTTAAACTAAAGTGGTCTATTAATACAGGAACTGAGTTTTCGGCACAAACTCAATTTAACTTTAAAAAACTATTTTTGCAACCTCATGGTGTGCAAAACTTTGATATTTCGAACTTAGATTATTTGACCTACCAGACCTACCCGAATTCCTGGTTTAAAATATCAAAGGTCTACGCTGTTGTTTTGCACTGATACAGGGTTTTAAAAAGTCAGGATGAAAAAAGACACCAAAGCTGTACATTAAACGCAATTGGAAATCATTAATACCTTTAAGTTTAACCAGATTTTATAACGGAATTAAACAGCTTTTAAGACATCTTTTAATGCCTTGAACTTAAAAATCTAAGACTATCTAATATATATTATCTCTCTAATCAACAAGTTTAAAATAGAGTGCTAGTGTAGGCTAATCCTGTAAAGGCCAGGAACTACACAGAAAGCGTACTGCATAATGATTATTGTATTATAGGCCATAATCTCCTTATGAAATTTATTAGTATATAGTTGTAAGTGTACAGATTGTGTAAAGTCCAGCTTTACAGGCTAGCAGGCAGACAACTATCAAACCAACATCTCTCATTTACAGGCTAGCAGGCAGACAACTATCAAACCAACATCTCTCATTTACAGGCTAGCAGGCAGACAACTATGAAACCAACATCTCTCATATACAGGCTAGCAGGCAGACAACTATCAAACCAACATCTCGCATTCAGATTACTCGGCCTGATCTAGCCTGAGTATAGGAAAAACCTTGAATGCACAATAATTTTTAAAATTTATTCAAAATATTCTGACCTGGATTGGTTTCATCTTCTCCAAGACTTGAATCTTCCTCCTGTATGTTAAGGGGCATATTAGGGCCCATCTGAGGCCCAATCTGAGGTCCAATCAAAGGACCAATGTTTGGTCCACTCTCAGAAGTTTCTTGGCCATCAACATCTTGACCCTCTCTGTTTAAAGCTTTGTATCTAGGGCGTCCAAGGGGTCCCTAAAGACAACATGTTATGGGGAAAAAAAATTATAAAAAAGAACACCGCTTGTTAAAAAAATATATCTAAGCAGCCAGCTTTTAACTGAATTAAACTTTAACCTGAACTCTTTCACATTTTATTGATTAAACATCTGGCCAATGAGAGGTAAGGATAGAATGAGTTTTAAAACTACCTGATGATGGAAAGTTGGCCGGCCTGGCCGCCGATCTATTGTTCCGAGTCCACTGGTAATCTCTCCGGACGATTTTAAAGGTCTAAATGAAAAATAATAAAAACTCGTTTAATTTAATTTTGTTGATTCCCCAAAAATTGACATATTTTTTTGGCAATTATAAAAATGTTTAAAGCTAAAGTTTAATTACAGAGATTAAAAAGCATGCGTAATTTAAGCGTTACAGGTCGTCTTTAAAGTATCATTATTTCTGGAAAACCCTGTACAATGTACACTGTACAGTCATAATCAGAAAGGCCTGGAATTGATTTATAATTAATCAGACGACTTTACAATCTAATCTTATAAATATGATTGATGAACAAAGAGAATAGAATATATATTAGAGGGGAATTTACTAGAAAAAAGTGTAAAACGGCCATTTTGTTGTACTGTTTCCATACTGCAGGTGTACTTCACATATTTATGCTATATAACCTTTTGGACCCTGGAATATCATTTTATAGAAAATCTAAAATTGATGTTAAAAGAAAACCAAATTATGAAATAGGCTGGTTTCATAACTGACCAATGATCATTTCACTTTACAAACGATGATTTTCCGTTATAACTATAAATCAAATGATGTTTTTTATTCACCTAATTCATTTTATAAAGTTTATTAACAGCTTTAAAAAATTCGAAATTGAAATGAATAGTCTACATACTGTATATGTATTAATGTACTCTACTGCATATAATCTGTGAACATTTACATGAATTGTACACTTTGAACTCCCTTTCAGGCTGAAGGGGACTGAAAAAAAAATCATACCGAGAGATTCTCTAAATTCCTCTCTAATATATATTCTATTCTCTATGTTGATGAAACGATAATTACAAAATAGTCCTGTCAATTCCAAAATGTGGTCTGTCTTTATTGTGCGTTTAAAGTTGCTAGAGATATAAATGTAAAGTCATCTGATTAACTTTAAATTAATTCCGAGTCTTTCTGGTTATGACCAAGGAGTATGGAATAGAAGAGAAGATACAGGGTGTCCCAAGAAACATGACATTTAATAAATAGCTATTTTTAGATAAACAAATCTTTTGCTTAATTATATTTTACTTTGAAATCAATTTTGATATAATATGACTCCCATATAATATTTTTATTGATCTTTGGTATCAAACATCTAAACAAATTATGGAAAAAGACATTCTAAACTATTCACCAACTGTCATGTTTCGTGGGACACCCTGTACATCTGACGCAGCCCGCCCTACCATATGATTATACATGCTTTGCAGACGGTACTTCATTTGAATAAGAAATATTTGTCGCGTATACAATAACCTATTCTAAATGTTTCTCATACAAATGGAGTACCGTCTGCAAAGCATGTATAATCATATGGTAAGGCGAACCGCGTCAGTCGTATCTCCCTTCTATTTCATACTCCTTGGTTATGACTGTACATAGCCCACTTAAATATAATCGTTGCCCTGAAATCTGATATCATATCTGTTACAAAAGAATAAAGCCTGATATTGTATACAGGTATATTATACATTATCCATGGATTGAAACCGAAACTGTAAAATGTAATGTTGAACCAGCTGTCCCCCCCCCCCAGAGCCCGAAACTTGAGACAGAGTTTCGTAATGAAACCCAGTTTCGAAAACCCGCGGTTTCAAGAATGGGGTCAGGCAGTTTTGTTCAGAATTACTATTTTATGTGTTATTTTTTTCACTATTTTTTTGTTTTCTGATTTCTTTAATTAAGATCTACGCTAAGGTGTTTACCCCAATAAAGAAACTCGAGAGTTTAGATCATCGAAACTCTCTTAAATTTCCCCCTCTGAGTGCCCTGAGCAGTATCTCGGTATAAACCAAGTTATTGTAAAAGTGCCGAATCACGTCATGCACTTATTACCAGTGAAATCGAGCACTAGGAGAAAAATAAAAGGGAAACTTTGCATCGTGTAATTTATCTCCTCTGAATCCCTTTTTTTGGAAAGTTTCACATTTAGCCTATTACTGGAGTGAAATACGAAGACGACATGAAAGCACATTTATTTAGTGTTGTTAGAAAGCAAATAGGTTTATGTGTGACTTGTTAAATCACTAATTAAGTGAATTGAGTCTGTTTACTGTGCAAAATTGCTGTGTCCCATACCCATTGGACTATCTAAAGTCATAACTTGAGTCTAAAAGTCGTCTTCCTATTCCAGAATTGTCTGGCTCTTACTGTGAATAACCCTCGGGACTATTTTACGCATACTTTACTCCATATCTATCTAACTCTATAACAATCTAGTTCTCTATAAATGTAACTCCCGGGATAAGCTAACATTGATTCGCTTTAATAGAGAAATATCCATAACTATACATCATTCATACATCATAAATCCTTGCTAAAACAAATTGTTTTATGTTAAGTTAAGTTGAAAAAGGTTTAAAAAAATGAAATAGCTTGCTAACAATAACTTATACTATTTTATGCGTTTTTGCGGATAATACGTTTTCCACTAGAATTTTTATCTAGATTAATATATAGTTCTCAGTAATCCTTGATCTGTCAAAGGTTTAAAGGGTACCATTATAGTGAATCTGGCATGGAAGGTCTTTTAAAATTACGCTTACAATCCCTTTAACTAGTTCAATTTGTTCAGGTGCATACCAACTTTATATAGAAATACAGATATCGTTCCAAGGTTAATGTAGCCACAGCGGGTCAACTCACCTAATACAGATATCGTTCCAAGGTTAATGTAGCCGCAGCGGGTCAACTCACCTAATGCTTCCATCACTAGTGATTATATTCTTCTCCAAAACTAAACTTGAAATACTGGGCTCAGCGTACATATCCGTTCCAAGCGTTCCATCCATAATTGAGGACTGGGTTCCTATTGTTCCATCCAGAGTAGAGGACTGGGTTCCAGGTTCCTTAGTTCCTATGACGTCATCAGTAAACTCGACGATAGATGTTCCTGCTAATTGTGCCTCATCTGTATCTATTCCTAATAATTGAAAAAATAGCAACGATTAGAATACACAATATGAAGAAAAGGATTGTAAAAATGATAATGATGATTTTAATACGATAGCAACCCAAACTCATAGACCTTAGATATTTTAAACCAAGAAAAATGTTAGATCAAATCATCTAAGTTTGAAAAATCAAAGGTTTACACCATCAGATTGCAAAGATATGGGAATTTAAAAATCTGTGGGAAAGACTTAATTCCTTAGATAAAGAAAAATATCAATGAAATATTACCTCTAAATCGACCCTCAAGGCCCGGTCTAAGAATTCTCTGTCTAATAAACTGTTGTTGCTGTTGTTGTTGTTGTTGTTGTTGTTGTTGAAGCTGATATTGAAACTGTTTTCTCCTAACTCCTTGTCTTTGTCTCGGACCCGTCATATCATAGATATCTCTTAATAAAAAAAATAAAAAATTTTATTTATGATTACTAGTTTTGAATTTTAACGATATCAAAACACATTGCATTAAAATTGAAATCTTTAGGTCAACTTCAATGTTCAAGAAATATTTACAAAATTCGCTAAATTTACAATTTGGGTGATACAGGATGGGACTTCAGAGAAGACTGTACAAAATTTATTCTATTTAAATGACTATATTGAAGACAGCTGAGACTTAATGTAACTGTAGGATTCTTATGTTTAGTTTCAGGTCGTCTTTACAGTCTTATTCTTATTGGGTAACCCTGTAATGTTGGATCCATTTTTAAGGTAATTTTTATTTCTAATTCCAAAAATTGAAATATATCATCTTCTATTAAAAGTGTAAACATTAAAGGTTAACATTGACCGTTTGCAACATTCTTCCTAATTCTTTACTAAATATTGCTGTAAGTGTGTACCACTACCATCTAATCAACCAGCTATAACAGTTAACACCCCCCCCCCCTTCCGTTCAGTAGAAATCCTGGAATATGATTCAGCTCTAACTAAATCCCAGTTTCTCATGAGAAAATGAACCGTAATAAACTATTTGTATTGAACAGCAAATTTACGTCAAAATGATGAAATAATTCTGTCAATTCCGATCAATTTGAGAGAACATATCTATTTAATTTTTATGACAAAAATTACTGTCTTTTTCGCCTTGGTAAAATTTGATGAAGGATGGCTGAGAATTTTCTTTTGCAAGATTGAAATGTATTTGTAGTTATTTTGTTAGGTAGTTAGTTATTTAACAGTTATGTTATATAACAGTACTTTATATCTGTTAGTTAGTTATTTAAGTATAATATTTAAAAGTATTTTATATCTCCAGTAGCATGTAGTTATTTTGTTAGGTAGTTTGTTATTTAAGTATAATATATAACAGCTTATTTTATATCTCCAGCAGCATTTCAAACATCAAATTGCAAAGTACTGTGAGAACCAGTAAACTGTGAAATTAGAAGACGACATCAAAGAACTAATCGTATTTAATGATGATACAAATCAGATGGTTTTACTAGTAACTTATTTAATCACTTATTAAGTGAGATGAGTCTAAAGTCACAACTTGATTCTGAAAGTCGTCTTCCTATCCCAGAGTTTTCCGGTTCTCAATGTATAGTCATCCTTATTGGTCACTAATACTATACAGACTAAAGGATGGACATTTTAAACTCGGGCTAGCATGGAAAGATTGCCTTGAACAAGATAATGATTTATACCTGTTGGTATCTTGGTATCTCCTGATGTTCCCTAGACCCTGAGAGGGTTGAACTTGTTCTCCGTCCTGCTCCGGTAGTGTAGGGTCTACTGGGATACCACCATACCTGGAGTTTAAACAATTTAAAGGCTGGCTTAACAACTTTGGGATCTTAAGTCAAAGCGATGTGCAAGTTTGAGTTTTTAAGTTTAAAAGAGTTTAAAAGGTTTATATCTATTTTTTGGAATAATAAGTAAAAGAATTAAAAAGAATAAATCTGCGAGTTCAGAGTAAAAAAGTAAAAAATCAGAAATTCAAGAGTTAACTATTTGAAACTTTAAAAGATTTCATTTTTCCTGAAGGTGGAAAATGTGAGAAAGTCTAATTTTAGTAAATTCATAACAAAAACTTTATTTTGGAAGAAATCAACTGAACTACCTTTCTATTGCATAAAATTTTTAATTAAAGAATTATAAACTGGAAATCTACAAATTTCTCGAGGTGTATAAAATCCCTATGGTTTGGTTTAACCAGGTTTAAAAATCTCCAAGGGTTTTGTTTCTCTAGGTTTAAAAATCCGTATGGTTAGGTTTCTCGGAGGTTTAAAAAATCCATATGCTTTGGTCCAAGTTGTAAAAAATCCCTATGCTTTGGTTTCTCCAGGTGTATAAAATCCCTATGGTTTATTTCTCTAGGTTTATAAAAATTTCCATGGTTTGGTTTCACCAGGTTTAAAAAATCCCTATGATTTGGTTTCACTAGGTTTCAAAAATGCCTATGGTTTGGTTTCTCTAGTTTTAAAAATCCCTATGATTTGGTTTCTCCAGGTGTACAAAATCCCTATGGTTTGGTTTCACCAGGTGTATAAAATCCCTATGGTTTGGTTTCTTCCGGTGTTTAAAATACCAATGGTTTGGTTTCTCCAGGTGTATAAAATACCTATGGTTTGGTTTCTTCCGTTGTTTAAAATACCAATGGTTTGGTTTCTCCAGGTATTTAAAATACCTATGGTTTGGTTTCTTCCGTTGTTTAAAATACCAATGGTTTGGTTTCTCCAGGTTTATAAAATACCTATGGTTTGGTTGGTCTGCTCCCTGGTCTCCCTGGTACATGGATCCAAACAACCCAACTCCTCCGAACTCTAAATCTTCGGTTTTATCTGAAACAATCATCAAATATTTTCACAAGAATCAGAGAAGGACAAATCTAGAAAATGGCGACAATTAGGAAACAAATAAATACAATTCTGTTATTAAGAAACACAAAAGGCTGAAGGATGCTAAATCTGAACAATGTGTACCCCCCCCCCCTCAACGTGTTACCTCCCTCCCCACGCTTTTGCGCCCTTGAATTTTTAACAAAGTGGCCATGAACCATCATGTTAAATTACATTGTTGAAGATTTTTATATCATTTCATAAAATCTCTTTTTCCTGACTTATCAAAGCTTATTTGTCCTTTAAACATCTTTTTGTTACATCTTTTAAAAGAAGAATTTGTAAGTTTATTGTTGCTACTTTTTCCTTGATCCTCCGTAAGTTTGATGTTACTCAAACAATAAAACCATCAAAGTCCATTGTTATTTCAAAATATTAATTCTGTTAGATCAAATATTCAAGGTTTGACATAAAAAAGGTGAGTACCATCACAGGTTTAACAAATATAGAGATCAGAAAATTAGAGTTTAATGCAGGTGTTCAGTTTTTTTATCAAACCTGATTTGCTCGTCGTATCCATACTTTTCTCCGTCTGGGCCTCCGGGAAGAGCAGAGCGTCAAGATCTCTGACAGGGTCAGGTTTATCTCTGGGTTTAGCTCCGGATCCGGGTTTAGCTCCGGCGGAGTTTGCTGAGAGAGCTGAACCTCCGGAGATTAAACTTGAAATTATAGATTGCTCCTCCTAATCCAAACCAACCCAAATCATAATTTTCAATGATATATGAAAGGATACTGTACAGGATTATCCAAAAACTATGAGACTTTTAAGACAACTAAAACTGACTGACTGAGCTGAAAGAGTTCGTCATCACATCCATAGAATGGGCGTCACCCTGTTTTTATACGAGCCTTCATTTTTAAAGTCAAACCCATTGTAGCTGTTTGTTAACGTATTACATTCCTTTGTGTCAGGAATCAGGATGTTCACATGAATATATCGAATGCAAAAAGTTAAAAAGGGACTGTCAGCGAAACTTCAAGTGATCCTCTGGCAAAGAGAGCAATGCATGATATACAACGGTACCCTCAAAAGCTATGTCTGATCAAGTATGAATAAATATTCATGTTTCAGTTTCTTTAAACTGTTTATTTTTATTTACCAAAGTGTATTGCTCATTTCACATGATTATATTTTGCAATGTAGAATTTATAAGAAATAAACACTTTTCGATGTAGCAAAACGACGGTATTTTCCACATTTATGTTCAGATTAAGGTTTCGAAGGTACCGTAGTAAATCGAGCATTGTCATGTTTTCAATTAGGGTCACTTGAAACTTGCTTACAGTCCCTTTAAGTTCCAATATTGAAATATAAAATTTGAGAAAAAAAATGATTTCCTTTGTTGGTCGCAAAAACTGATCAACTCTTCTCTCCTGGCCCCCACCAAGTGAACCCTCTCTGAAAAAAATATATTAAAACGTTCTTAAAAAAAGTATAAATAAAAAAAAAATAGACGAAGACAGTTGATTGATTGATATGCAAATTCTAGATTTTGATAGGTAGAAAATTACTAATTACGCGCCATGAAAGGATTTCTTTCAACGCAATGTACTATGTATAATTGACATGAAACTCATGCTAGGTTTTATTAGAAAATGACCAAAGATAGAATAATCTATCGAACACCCTGATAGAAACTATTATCCTGATATACCTGAACACTCTGATAGAAATTAATATCCTGATATACCTGAACACTCTGATAGAAACTAATATCCTGATATACCTGAACACTCTGATAAAAACTAATATCCTGATTCCTGATATACCTGAACACTCTGATAGCAACTAATATCCTGATATACCTGAACACTCTGATAGAAACTAATATCCTGATATACCTGAAAGCCAAAAGACGTTGTTTGGCCATCTCCAGTAGTTTTTGTCGGTTCAGCAGTTCTGTCATAATAGTCCTAAATATACCATTAATACAGAGATTTACTTTAGAAAAACACTTGCCACAAACTTTTGATTTTCTAATTTCTATATCTTTGCAAACTAATGATGTAAAAGACTATTCAACCTTACAGAATTCCAATTATTAGAAAAATCGGAATTTGTGGCAAGTGTTCACCCATCAAGTTCATTTCAATAAAAATAAGTTTAAAAAAAAAAATGAAGGTTTGATGATTTTTAGATAATAAATTAATTGAATGTCCAATGCCCGATTTGAAAACTGATTATTTTGAACTGTGATGTTTCTACAAAAGTGACTTGCGCATTGGAACTGCAGGACAACATAGAAATTATCCAGATTAAATACTTTTAAACCTAGGAAAATCTTCCACGTTATTGATCAGATAAAGGTTTCAACTTTCAAGGGTACCGTTGTTAATCGGGCATTGCCATTTCTGCAAGGAGGGTCAATTAAAATTACGCTTACAGTCCCTTTAACAATACCTTTTTGGTAATTTTGGATCTTCCTGAGGCTCAGATTGTTTTTTACTAAACCTTTCAAGGTTCTTCAGGTTTTGGAGGTTCTCAGGGTTCCCCTGGTTCTCCTGGTTCTCCTGGATCTCCTGGTTCTCTAGAAGGGATGCTTGCTCCTGCTCCAGGAGGTAAAAGGTGACTCCGATAACAACTCCGATAACAGCCAGAGAGGATAGAACCACAGCCAGGATCTGGAAATATTATTATTATTATTATTATTATTATTATTATTATTATTATTATTATTATTATTATTATTATTATTATTATTATTATTATTATTATTATTATAAAAGTTTCTGCAAAAATAAGTTTTCTTAACAATGATGCATCCCTTTTTCTGGAGCTGTGACTGTGATGCCTATGGCCGTGACTGTGATGGCTGTGTCGACTGTGATGGCTGTGTCGACTGTCTCTGTCCATATCTACTGAGTATCCCGACTTGCTGTCCATACTGATAATACTCTCTCCACCTAATCATGCATTTAATTACAAAGCGTTATCGGTCAAAAACCTTTGCTTTTCAAAATATCTGCTTCAAGTCAAAAAAAAAAGGTTTTCATGATAATATAAATTGTTATTTCTCATGATCAAAACTTAGTAAATACCAGAAGAAACGAAACATAGATTACAATAACAATAATACAATAATACTAATCAATGTACGGATAATGATACAATAATAACTATAATACAATAATACTAATCAATGTACGGATAATAACATAATAATAATTATAATACAATAATAATTACCAATGTACGGATAATAATATAATAATAATTATAATACAATAATACTAATCAATGTACGGATAATAATATAATAATAATTATAACACAATAATACTAATCAATGTACGGATAATAATATAATAATAATTATAATACAATAATACTAATCAATGTACGGATAATAATATAATAATAATTATAATACAATAATACTAATCAATGTACGGATAATAATATAATAATAATTATAATACAATAATACTAATCAATGTACGGATAATAATATAATAATAACTACAATACAATAATACTAATCAATGTACGGATAATAATACAATAATAATAACCAATGTACGGATAATAATACAATGATAACTATAATACAATAATAATAATCAATGTACGGATAATAATACAATAATAACTATAATACAATAATAATAATCAATGTACGGATAATAATACAATAATAACTATAATACAATAATAATAACCAATGTACGGATATGAAGGGTATAAATTAAAATTAACCTTACCCTAAGCTAAAATCTAACAGAAGCGCTTTTTAATATTATAAAGAAAATTTATTATAAGAGAACCGGCTTTTTATATTCATTTCTTTACATCATTTTATTTTATTGATCATTAGTTTCGTTTTTTTTTGTGTTTTTTTAGTTTAGCATTTTTAGTTTAAAATTCATTTATGGGATTATAAAATTTTCCATATAAAAAAAGAAAAAATAAACTAAGATGGTCAAAGGTAATTTTAGAAAACAAAGAGTTTTTAGATCAAAAAATAATAAATAAGATAAATGCTAACGATAATTCAGTTCTAACGATATAAAAACCATCAAAATCGATTAAAAAAAATTTTGTTAAAAACCACAAGAAAAAAAACAAACAAAAAAGATTATTAACAAAAAAAAATCGGGGCTTTCAAATGGACAAAAGGGAAACGAACTCAGATGGAAACAGGATAATTTACAAATATTTACTTTTTAATAAATGTTTTAAGACAATTATTATTCCTTGAGAAATTGTTTCTGTCACGAAGATCAAAAACAAACTGTTTAGATGTATTTGTAAACAGTGGTGGTGGGGGTCGATCTAATTATTTAAATAAAAATAAAAATAAATTCAGTTATATAGTAATTAATACAAAGGATGAATCTTTAGAATTAACGACAGTAACTGTAAAGTTGTATCGTTGGTTCTCATCCACAGTAAACTAGATTACTTTCAGATCGTCATAGTTGCAGAGTTGCAGGTCAGTATTAATGTCTCAATATTTGTTGGTAACCCTGTATTTGAAAAATAAACACTATCTATAATTACTGTTATTTGCAATATCAAAATACATTCTACATACAGTTCTGGGGTTTGAGCATAGAAATTATTTTGTAAAGAGTAGAGAATAAAGAACCAGATGGTTACTTATATACAAGGTTATAATGCAAGGAAAGTTGTTTCAGAGGTGTTTGCATAATAAATAATAAACTATAAAAAAAACTATGAATAGAAAACTAGGAATAATAAACTATAAATAAAAAAATCTATGAATAAAAAACTATGAAAAATGGTTGCAAATAACCCTTTAAGCCTATTTCATATGATATTCTATAATTATTAGAAGTAAGAAGTAAGTCCCCCTGGACCAGTGAAATCTATGGATTTCAGGGGGTTTTCAGGCCCTAACGGTTGCTGAGCCCTGGTGGACGGTGGTGTGTGTACTTATTACATTGTGAAGTGAGCTATTTTAGAGAAATCTTACGTGCTTGTAAATCTTAACAAACCTTGTACTCGAAATACTCATGAAGTTATTGTTAATTATCTCATTGTTTACAATAAAACAACACCTTACGACACTGCAGTACAATGTAAACGTGACCTAACATTCTGCAAAAATCCGTGGTCGGCATATACATCAATACAAAATACGGAAATGGTGAAACAAAACAGAAGCTGATATATATTTGAATGCAGTATCCGGCATTGAAACTCTATATAAATACTAGTGGACCAATAAATTATCGGACATTGAAATTGTATTGTATGAACATTTCTTTAACCGATACTGTATTGATATTTATGCTGACCACTGTATTGATATTTATGCTGATCACTGTATTGATATTTATGCTGACCACTGTATTGATATTTATGCTGACCACTGTATTGATATTTATGCTGACCACTGTATTTAAATTATTACCTTGTATAGTTTGAAATAGATAAATCCAATACGTCCCCTCTAACCTAACTCATAATTCCTGCATATTTTCACGAATCACCCTGCACGAATCCCTACACTGCTAACCTATCAACAACTGGACATTATAGCGCGCACAAGAGAAACTTTAACGCGCGCCAGTTGCCGGGGGTAGCAACGGTATCCTTAACTGTGCACTACGTGCGGCATCTTTCTAATTGAATTCTTTAGTTTTACACATTTATACAACTATTTTATAAACTATAGATAAATGTTTATAATTTGTATTATTTGTGTGAATGGCTCTCCTCTACTCCTCCACTCCTCCACTCCTCCACTCCTCTACTCCTCAACTCCTCTACTCCTCTACTCCTCTACTCTTCTACTTCTCTACGCCTCTGCTCCTCTATCCCTCCACTCCTCTACTCCTCCAATCCTCTACGCCACAACTCCTCTACTCCTCCACTCCTCTACTCCTCCACTCTTCTACTTCTCTACGCCTCTGCTCCTCTACTCCTCCACTCCCCTATAGGTTCAGTAGAAGTAAATATTTCCATTTACTGTTGTAGCGCCGATATAAGGATTTATCTCTTATTGGATAATGAGCTAGATAAAAAGATAGATGTTACAGCCATACTATTTCTATTGGTTCAGAATAGACAACAAACACATGACTGAACCCTGATTGGATCAGGCACCAATGGACTCGGAAACAGGAGTGACTCCTCTCCGCCTCTACTCCTCCACTCCTCTACTCCTCTACTCCTCTACTCCTCCACTCCTCTACTCCTCTTACTTTTCTACTCCTCCACTCCTCTACTCATCAATTCCTCAACTCCTCTACTCCTCTACTCCTCTACTCCTCTGCTCCTCTACTCCTCCACTCCTCTACTTGTCTACTTCTGCTAGGTCACCATCTGGTTTTGATTGGAGAAACTCGATGAAATAACAAGAAGTGTTTATTTCTACCTAGAACAGATTGACCTAGTATGAGTCTTCCAACGTAATACGAAAGAGTGGTGGAGGAAGGGGGGGGGGAAAGGGCTCGTAAAGGCGAAAACAAGTGGAGAAGGTGGAAGAAGGGAGACTATGAAAAGGAAAAAAGAGACAAAATATTAGGAAAATAATAGAGGAGAAGGGGTGAGATTAGTTGGAAAAGTAAACATTTTTAAGAGCAGTAAGAGTAGGGAGGGAAGGCAGGACATGTAGGGTATGAAGGGAAGGCAGGAAAAGAAAACAGGAAGGGAGGAAAGGACAGAAAGAGAAGGAAGGACAATAGGAATAGTACTGACAGTGTAGGATAGGAAGTACAGGAAAGGTAATGAGTAAAGAAAGACCAGGAAGGATAGGAGAATAGTAACATAAGGAAGAAAACAAAAGACAGGGACCGGAGGGGTAGGAAGGAAAGAAAGAAAAGGGAGGGCATGAAGGAAAGGATGATAAAGGGAAGAAAGGAAACGAAAGACAGGAAGGGAAGGAATGACACGAAGGACAGGGAAGGATATGAAGGCCAAGAAGGATAGGAAGACAGGAAGGGAAGGAATGACATGAAGGACAGGGAAGGATAGGAAGACAGGAAAGACATGAAGGACAAGGGAGGATAGGAAGACAGGAAGGGAAGGAAGGACATTAAGGACATGGATGGATAGGAAGACAGGAAGGGAAGGAAGGACATGAAGGACAGGGAAGGATAAGAAGACAGGAAAGGAAGGAATGACATGAAAGACAGGGAAGGATAGGAAGGCCAGGAAGGATAGGAAGACAGGAAGGGAAGGAATGAGATGAAGGACAGGGAAGGATAGGAAGACGGGAAGGGCAGGAAGGACATGAAAGACAAGGAAGAATAGGAAGACAGGAAGGGAAGGAAGGACATGAAGGACAGGGGAGGATAGGAAGACAGGAAGGGAAGGAAGGACATGAAGGACAGGGAAGGATGGGAGGACAGGAAGGGAAGGAATGACATGAAGGACAGGGAAGGATGGGAAGACAGGATGGGCAGGAAGAATAGAAAAGATGGTTTCTTAATCCTTGAAATTTGTTTTGAAGTGATTAAAAGAATATTGCAGGAGAATAAAATATTTGCATGTTAGTTTCTTGGCTAAAGACCTAGACCAAAGATACCATATGACGCTAAAATGTATGTGCGTCAGGCGCGTCAGAGTCTTGCGTAACATTTGTCAGAAAAATGCGATTCTTTTGATCACACATGCAATATAAGCAGGTTCTTCAGCAAAAATTGCAGCTATAATTAAAGTCCTATAAACGTAAAAATACACAGATGAAGAGTTAAAACTGTTTTTGTCTTACTTTAAATCAATTCAAAAATGTATTGGAACAATATTATTCAATTTTCTTTAAACAATAAACACGTTTAAAGCCTGGCCCGCGGTCTCTAGGGGGGGGGGGTGTCAAAATGTTGAAAATTAAGTGGTATGTTTGAGTAAATAAACAGTTATTGATATTATTTGACAAATTATTCAAAAAAAGACGTTTTGCAATGACTCCTTAATTTTACCTTAAATCTTTAAGATTGATTTCAACTGAGATCAACTATATATACTTTGCTTGTCTGTCTTTCTGTTTGTCCGCTTGTATCCAATAAACGTCAAAACGGCTGAACCTCACATGACCCCAGGGAAGGTTTATGGATGCTCAAAATTACACGAATTTGTGCCTAAAAGTTATTGATTTTTGTAAAATTTTGAAAATGCGCGAAAAAAATATTATCAAATCCGCGAATTTTTTTATTGTTTTATAATATACAAAGAAAATATGCTCACAGTCACAGATAGAGCCACAATTAAAAATGAATTAGAAGAAGGGCGCGAAGCACCCTAAAAGCCTAGTAGAATAAAGATTAAGAATGTGTCTAAGCCCTCTCCTTTTCCACTTTTTACGCAACAAGGATTTAAAAACGAATTTAATTCTAGCTCATCATCCAGTAATTTGAATTTTCGTCAATTTTGATTTTTGCATACATGTACATGTACATAGAGTGCTATCATGCCATTTTATTGAGTAATGTAGAAAAGATCAAAACTTGTCAGAGTTTGTTCTAATTTAATAGAGTTATAATTGATCAAGTATAGATAGGTGTACTTGAGTATAAGCAGAATCAGAGACCAAAACTTAAGACAGGGTATCGTCTGAAAACCCGGTGTCGGAAACCAGGTTTCACGAATGGGGTCAGACAATTTTGTAGATATCAAAATATTTTTAAAGAAATATTTTTATATATGGTTAGTTTTCTGTTTTCTCTTTATTTTCTACTTCTTGATGTTAATCTACACAAATGTAAATACCCCCAGTAGGAAACTCAAAAGTTTCGTTTAGGTAGATGATGATTTTAAAAACATTTCTTACACTAGAGGCGCTAGTATCTCCTTTTAAACATTTATTGTACTAATTCATGAAGATCTATTCTTATGCACAAGGACAAGCAAGACTGGAAGGAAGTGTTGATTAAAATTTAAGGTTTCATGTTTTTATTCAAAAATTCGTGCAAGAAAAATTAGTTTGTATTGATGTTTGCAGAATGTAGATACAGCACTACATTAAAACTACATAAATACACGTCAATTTATTGATAGAGTGAATAAAACTTTTAAACAATAATACATGAACTGTACACCAGATACAGAACTAGTTGTACATGAACTGTACACCAGATACTGAACTAGTTGTACATGAACTGTACACCGGATACAGAACTAGTTGTACATGAACTGTACACCGGATACTGAACTAGTTGTACATGAACTGTACACCTGCTACAGAACTAGCTGTACATGCAAGCTGTACACCGGATACAGAACTAGTTGTACATGAACTGTACACCTGATACAGAACTAGTTGTACATGAACTGTACACCTAATACAGAACTAGTTGTACATGAACTGTACACCGGATACATAATAGGTGTACATGAACTGTAGACCGAATATAGACCTGGTTGTACATGAACTGTACACCAGATACAGAACTAGTTGTATATGAACTGTACACTGGATTCATAACTAGTTGTACATGAACTGTACACCAGATACAGAACTAGTTGTACATAAACTGTACACCGGATGCATAGCTAGTTGTACATGAACTGTATACCGGATCCCTCGAACTTGTTTTTAATCCAAATATCAAATTCTTCCTCCAGCTCTGCACTGAAGTACTTTCTCCAACCACCTAAACATATCAAGGCGTCACGGATCGGCCCAAATTTTTTTGCGGCAACTTACATGACCCCAGGGAAGGTTTATGACAAGTCAAAATTTAAAAAGTGTTCAATGAAAAACCAATTTTTGAAAATGCACTGATTTAAACAGAATAGTCCGTGTAGTTAATTTAAACAGAATAATCCGTGTAGTTAATTTAAACAGAATAATCCGTGTAGTTAATTTAAACAGAATAATCCGTGTAGTTAATTTAAACAGATTAATCCGTGTAGTTAATTTAAACAGAATAATCCGTGTAGTTCGGAGTCTTCGAAAGACAACAGTTAAAAGTTCAAATTGTTACTAGAAATGGAACTCCATTCACAAAGCACCCCGAAGGCCTAGCTCTTTATAAATAAAAGAAAGTATTATTATTTAAACAGAATAGTCCGTGTAGTTAATTTAAACAGAATAGTCCGTGTAGTTAATTTAAACAGAATAGTCCGTGTAGTTAATTTAAACAGAATAATCCGTGTAGTTAATTTAAACAGAATAATCCGTGTAGTTCGGAGTCTTCGAAAGACAACAGTTAAAAGTTAAAATTGTTACTAGAAATGGAACTTCATTCACAAAGCACCCCGAAGGCCTAGCTCTTTATAAATAAAAGAATGTATTATTCAAATTTCTGAAGAAAACAACATTTCACCTGCTTTCCCTTCTCTAATGAAAGATTCTCCTTCTAGGAATTTTCCTCTGAAAAAAAAACAAAAAAATGAAAAAAGTATAAATTCATTGAATTTTTAAAATTTAAATTAGTGTCTTAAAGAAAACGCCAGACATTAATATAATTGGGTTATAAAGTTCTCTTTACAAAAAAATCGAATAAAATATTACCTATCGAATACACAAATATATTAAAACCCGCCATTTCTTCGTGAGTGTACTGCAGATTACTACAGGTATTGCACAGAAAGCTTAGATTTTACAACAACTGAATTTCCGACTTTTTGTATGTTTCTGTAAAGTGTAATAAACTTATGGACAAATATCTGATGGTTTAAGAAATGTAGCTAAGAAAATTCAATAAGCATGCCCCGAACAATTATTACACATTTTCGCGGATTTTTCAATTTTTTAGAAATATTTATATAAAGTTCACAGTTTTCTTTAACCAAGTCATTGATGGAAAAATCAAACCTATGATTTTTAGGAACAACAAGCCCAACTGGTTCACCGACCCAGGGTCTAAATACCTAGGTTCAAACGACATAGGGTCAAACGAAATAGGGTCAAACGACATTGGGTCTAACGACAAACGGTAAAACGACTAAGGGTCAAAATGGAAAAAATATTTTATGTATTATATTTCAGGGTTAGGTTAGGTTAAGACAATTCCTGGAGTAGCTTGAAAACCAACTAATTTAGAGAAATAGGCTTGTGCAAAATTCAAATGCAAAATGAGAACTTGAGTCTAGAAGTCTTTCTTTTCCACATTTTTTGCTGGTCCTACTGTACCCGCCTTATATTAATATTACTATTAATATTCACCTTTCATGTCTATCCTGATGATTAATATTCACCTTTCATGTCTATCCTGATGATTAATATTTGCATTTCGCATTTCGCGACATTTTTTTCGCGAATCGTTTCGTTCGCTGGAAACACTATTCTTGACCAGACAATGCTTTTCTGTTGTGAATTTGACGAGTCTGTTAAAAAATTACACCAAAAAAAGTCAACTTTTTATTTCAAATATTTGCAAGAATCATAATACATACCTCCTCATTCAAATCCTTGTTCAAAAACCTAAATTTAGCATTGATTAATAAGTAACACTAACCATTCATTTTCTGATATATTATTGTCTATTTAAAAAAAAACTGCTAACTTTTTGGTAGATTTTAGGTCCTTTTTTATATGTAATCGGATATGTTATATTGGATCAAATTTCGTAATGTCGTAACCCTTTAACTTTTAGTTTCACAATATTCATAGATACATAATATCGACTATTCTAAACTGTTTATATTAAAACTTGACTTGGTTTCTCAGAGTATTTTGACCTGGTTTGGTTTGGTAAGGTTTGGTTTGGTTTGGTACAGTTTGTTTGGTAAAGTTTGGTTTGGTAAGATTTGGTTTGATACATCTTGGAATTTTTAAGTTTCTAACTCTTATGTTAAGAATATATACCTTAATTTCGTATTCTTCAATAGTGAATTAAATGTACCTGGCAATTTTTCTAATTGCTTCTGGGAGATCTCTCTTTAAAAATCATTTTCAGATTTTTTTCATGAAAATTTAATTATTTTAGATTAACTGCAGTTACTTCAACAGAAAGCAACTCAAAATCATCTAAGATAATATAAATAGAGAAGTTATTAAAATATAAAAATGCAATGCTCGAAGTACCGCTTTAAAAAATAATAACGTTGACTAAAGCAAAATCAATATAACCGATACAAAAGCCTTTAATATTTTTTCTAATTTTTATTTTCCTTGACTGTAAAACATAAAAACATCTCATTTGCGTTACAGATACAAATAGTTTGCCAGGGGTGTCAAATATTGCAAGCAAAAAAATTTCTTAGCCCTTTGACACTATTTCCTTCCAAAACTTGCCGATTTAGTTTAAATACAGTCTGGGAAAGTAATTAATGGTACAATATTTCCTTTAAAAATATGCTGATTTAGTTTAAATACAGTCTGGGAAAGTAATTAATGGTCCAATATTTCCTTCCAAAACATGCCGATTTAGTTCAAATGTAGTCTGGGAAAGTAATTAATGGTACAATATTTCCTTCCAAAACATGCCGATTTAGTTCAAATACAGTCTGGGAATCCTTCCTTTAGTTCAGAATCCTTCGCGGCATCTCTGATATAAAAGGAAGATGACAACTCATTTTTATTTTCATCGGGATTCACCGTAAATGTACGTATTCAGTAACATAAGATGAGACCTCTGAGACGACTTCACGAATAAAGTCATTAAAAAAATTATACTCAAGGCAGAAGGCTTAACTTAACCTTAAGATTATCCTATTATATGAGTCACAGGTCGTTGTTACAGTCTCAGGGTAACCCAGTATATGGATACCAGAACATTTACAAATTTGCATGAAATCCTGAAAATGATTTTCCTTCATGTCTTCATACCAGAGAAACAATATGTTCTCATTCTCTCTATTCTCCCATCCTTCCTAATAATAATAACAATAATAATAATGATGATGATAATAATAATAATACCTTTATATGTTCTGCATATGGATCTTCAGGAAGGAGTTCTGCCATGAATAATCTGAGAAAATGGGTAATATTCAGATATAAAGAATAATACTAAAATGTGTCATTAACTCTAAAAAAATTATAATGGAGGACAGATTCCAAGGGAATATAAAATCCCAAAGGACTATTTGAATAATCATGTATTTAGAATAATAAGAAATTATCAGAGTACCTACATAATAATTCAATAAGTTGTTCAACTAATGAATTAATAACGAAAAATAAATGGAACGATGATTGAATATGAAAAAATTAATATGAATAATGCTTGAATAAATGAATAAGTAAATAAGCAAATAAAGAAGTGGATAAAGAAATGTCTAAATGACTAAATGACTAAATGACTAAATGACTAAATGACTAAATGACTAAATGACTAAATGACTAAATGACTAAATGACTAAATGACTAAATGACTAAATGACTAAATGACTAAATGACTAAATGACTAAATGACTAAATGACTAAATGACTAAATGACTAAATGACTAAATGACTAAATGACTAAATGACTAAATGACTAAATGACTAAATGACTAAATGACTAAATGACTAAATGACTAAATGACTAAATGACTAAATGACTAAATGACTAAATGACTAAATGACTAAATGACTAAATGACTAAATGACTAAATGACTAAATGACTAAATGACTAAATGACTAAATGACTAAATGACTAAATGACTAAATGACTAAATGACTAAATGACTAAATGACTAAATGACTAAATGACTAAATGACTAAATGACTAAATGACTAAATGACTAAATGACTAAATGACTAAATGACTAAATGACNTCCGACCCACATACACAACCTGGACATTAATCAACAGTGTAGAGTATATAGAGTACTGGGGTTCCGACCCACATACACAACCTGGACATTAGTCAACAGTGTAGAGTATATAGAGTACTGGGGTTCCGACCCACATACACAACCTGGACATTAATCAACAGTGTAGAGTATATAGAGTACTGGGGTTCCGACCCACATACACAACCTGGACATTAATCAACAGTGTAGAGTATATAGAGTACAGGGGTTCAGACCCACATACACAACCGGGAAATTAGTCAACAGTGTAGAGTATATAGAGTATTGAGCCCGATATTTAAAAGAGTTGACCGAAACTCACGAGTTTCCTTTTTTGAGGTCTTAACATTTTGTAGATTTTCATTAAAGAGATAAGACAAAAATGGAGAATATTAAGTCCAAATAAATAAAATAATATTTCATAATAAAAATATAGATATCCACAAAACTGCCTAAACACCATTCGTGAAACCCGGGTTTCCAAACTGGTTTTCATAACGATACTATGCCTTACGTTTTGGGCTCAGAGCAGGAAATTTAAAAGAGTATCGTTGACCAAAACTCCCTAGTTTTCTATTTGGGGTGTATACATTTGTGTAGATTTACATCAGGAATTAGAAAATAAAGAGAGAATATAAAACTAACCAAAAAAAATAATTTTTCTTAAAAATATATTGACAGCTAAAAAATTGCTTTACCCCATTCACGAAACCAGGTCTCCGATACTGGGTTTCATAAGTTTGGGCTCTGTGTGCACTGTGCAGTTAGGCGGTATATCTAACTCAAAATTTGCAACATTATCCAAAAACTAGAACTTTTTGGTTCGTTTTTTCTTTTGTTGGGATGTTACATTTTTAAACTAAACTAAAATGTATGTTCCTCTCATAAATGGTTAAACACCTTCAAACTTTTACATCCTGATCTCTAAATGTTTAAATTACTGTCTTAGCATAGCAAAGAAAAATACAGTTTGTTTAATACCATGCATTTCAACATACTTCCAGACCCAGACGTTTATATCTTTGTAACCTGCTTTCTATCTAAAGTTCAGCTCAGTCAACTAGGCCGCGCGCCAAACCAATCCTTTACCAGCTTTTTACGTAAAATTCTAAACCAACCAATAGAACCATGAAAACATTTTTATCGACCAATATAAGATAAAGTAAAGCTTCATTTCTAGTTAAAAAATTCAGCATCCAAAAAACCTAGTTTTGTAGCAGGGATGAAAATATTGCAAAGTTTAATAAAAGCAAACTTTTACAGAAAACAGTTTTAATTTTTGAATTTTGAAAGTTTTTAAAAAGATTTTATAAAGACAAAGGAAAGCAATTAACAACACTAAAGATGCAATAAAATAAACATTACCTTTCCCTTCAAGAGTAGATCCTTTGGAAGCATTGAGATTGGTAGATGGCACTTGATGTTTCTGAATCAAAACAACTTTAAAGGGACTGTAAACGTAATTTCAAGTAAATCTCCATTTATAGAATGGCATGTTTGTAGAATGGGAAGTTGCCGCTTGGGAAATTGCACATTTGGGAAGTTGCCACTTTGGAAAATACCCTTGGGAAGTTGCTGCTTGGGGGAAATCCTTTGGGAAAGTACCTAATATCTTCACAACGGTACCCTTAAAGTCTTTGTTTGATTAAGTATGACTAAGATATTCGATGTTTATAACTTTGAAAACGGATTATATTTTATTATAGACAAAATATAAAAAAGATTTATGTATTTCACGCTAGAATATCGGCTTTATCTTCTGAATCATGGTGATCATGATTGATACAGGTTATAATGATGCCGTTGTACTTGTAAATTAAGCATACCATCTTTTTTTAATGATTGGTCACTAGGCGACTACAACGACAGTCCCTTTAAACAGCAATTTTTTTTTTGCAGAGAGGACTAAAAGCGTGAATAGAACTATAGGGTTACTAATAAAGGATGTGAGTAGCTAAAAGTGCCCGGCGTTGCCTGTGAAATTTTAGAAATGCAATAAAAAAAATTGAATTTTGAAATAAAAGATTTGAATTTTTAAAAAAAATCGAGTTTTGAAGAAAAATATTCTAATTTAAAGAAAAAACTAAATTTTTGCCTGTGTTTACCCTTGAGTTTCATGTGTTTTAGCCCATTTGGTCCAGTTATTTTGTCAGATATAGCTAAGATATTATATTTATATGAGCTTTATTATATCTGATATATAATAAAACGCCTATATTTAGCCTCGGAAGGAAACCTTCAAATTTCTATCGTTAAAGAGTTTTTTTTTGAGTCGTTGTTTGAGTTTAGATTACTAATATCACACGATCTGTAATATGCCCAAAATAGTCTTTTAAATACAACATTTTCTGTATTTTTGTAATTCCTTCAGACTCAATATCAAGAAAATGCCAAAAAAAATCTAATTACTGGATTAAATATTTACTCACCTTTCCTCTCCTTGTTGCAACTTCAGAATAGAACCATCTAAGAAAAAAAGAATAACAAAATCTTCATATCCTTAACTATGTTATCATTAACGTTACTTGTAGGACTGGCCACGTTCCGACTTTTTGAATTCGTTCCGTTCCGTTCTAGAACAAGGGCCTTCAGCTAGATCGTTCCGTTCTCGTTCCTTTTTTCCAATCGTTCCGTTCTTGTTCTGTTCCGTCCCGTTCCCTTCCATTTTTAGTCAAAGAACAAAATGAAGTTCTGTTCCATTCTTGGTGTTCTTAGTCAAAGAACGGTTCCATACCCCTGGGGGGAGTACTGGGGTTCC